AACATATAATATGGATATTACCAACCAAAGATCCATAAAGACACCATTCAAAGCATCAGTTAATATCAATAAATACTGATGGGTTGGAAGGAAGGAAGGAAGGAAGGAAGGAAGGAAGGAAGGAAGGAAGACCATGTTGTCCAAACAAAAAAAGTTTCCCAAAGACATCTGAAGGAAGAGAGGGGTGGTATAAGGCAACATACTGGATTTAAGAAACTCCTTTGTGATTCAGGTGCATGAAAAGATCCTGCGTTGTGGCAGAGAGGTCAGCTTCAACCTAAAGAGAGATATAAGACTGTTACAAAGGTTGTGTGCCACCCCCAATCTTTGCCAAACAGTGCACAAGATTCCACCCAGGGTCGTGCAGTGAGCCCACAGGGATATCACCTTGAGGGTTTCTTCCACCTTGAGTGGCCTCAATGTTGTTAATGTAGGCTCCAAAAATTGGGGGGCGGGGGGCAGTGGGAGGTAATGAAGCTAATCATACTCCAACTGCTCAAGTGTAAAGTTTGGGAGAAGCATTCCCAACTTTTCCTTACAATGTCCATGTTGCTGATATCTGGTTTCCATTTTTACCTTATCTCTGTGCTGCCTGCCCTTGCCCCACCTTGCTCAGAGAAAATGGATGTTGAGTAGTAATTCCTCTGCTTTTGTGAACTAGTTAATTCAAGCCCATTTGACAATGTGTTTCAGTCCTGCCGGCTAATTAATTTCACTCAGTTTAATACACACACTTTTATAGGAGCTCAGCGTATTGAGAGGAAACAATAAAATTATCTGTGCACTAACTATAAAAATCCCTGCTACTCTGCTTAGCAAATATGAGATCTTGTTCCACAAAGCTTAATAGATGTTTGTTTATTTTCTCAGCGATAGATTCCCATTAAATAATTATTTCCCACAATATATGCAGCCTGGAGCTTTGCCTGCCACTGCCAATCGCCGAAGAACTGAGAGTCAGAAGACACAGTACTATTTCATTTCAAACAAACGGGGGGAATTGCTCATATAAAAGTTGGCACAATAATCAGTGGTTAGGGAGAGCATTAAATATGAGAACCAGCCTTTTCTAGGCCTCAGGCAATGGATAGGCTTCAATCCCATATAGTGTCTATGGCATATACACTTGGAAGCAGGTTCCATTTAATCAAGAGGACTTTATTCTGAGTAAATATGCATAGGACTGTGCTACCAGTATACCAACCTAGCTTCTTCCTCTGATTTGTACAAAGCAACTTGGGGAAATTGCTGCTATGCTACAAGCAGACCTCCTTTTCTTGCAGGGTCCCTGTGGCTTTAATAGCTGCAAGACTTCACAGATGGAAATAGGGGCAGCCATGTGTAGCTGCAGCAGCTCTATTCTCCCACCTGCAGCATCTTCACTGTCAGAGGCACTATGCCTCTCTATACCAAGTGGGGAGGTCACTGCTGCACTCATGTCCTGCTTGGGGGCTTCCCATAGGGATCTGGCTGGCCACTGTGAGAACAGGATGCTGGACCAGATGAGCCATTGGCCAGATCCAGCAGGCCTCTTTTTATGTTCATTTGATCTCGCACGCACCATTCCACTGTTACTAAATGCCAAAATCTCATTTCTGGTTGTGCTATGTGGAGTTGCCTGCTTTCTGACCAGCCCTCATTGCTGTGCCTTTAATTGTAGTTTGATCACAGCATGGGGGGGGGAGTTGTTGCTTGATAGTGGCTGCAGATCCAGCTACAGGGACTGGTTGAAAAGTTGACAACCCCTCACTGTTGGAAGTTTTCTTCTTCTCTGCAACAGTAAATATGCACCAGCTTCTGAAAGGAAGTGTGCTACTAAATAAACTGCAGCAGTTTGTACAATTAGTTTCCTAACACAGTGAGCTGGTTTGCACATAATGCTAAACCATGATTTGTTAAGCTATGGTTTATTAAACTATGGCTTAGCCTTATGTGTGAAAGGCAACAGCTGAGAGTGGGCTGATGAGACCTAGATGCTTGAAGGAGAAAGCAGCAGGCTGGGATGTAACAGAAGCAGAGCGGTGATTGATTTCTACTGAGATCCAGGACAGTGACTGTGTGAGAAGCAAGACCCTCTTAGGGTGTTAACGCTGTGAGCCCTTCCGACATAGGCTCAGGTTGTACATTTGAGTCAAAATATCATATATCATAAAGACAATCTCTGCTATGCCTCATTCCAAAGGAAACATAGACTCTGGGTAAGTGCCTGGAACCCCTGGACTCTCACACCGCTTGGAGACTGGGGTAGTGTGCCACAATATACATCTCTGCTGAGTTGTTGCTGATTCAGTTTCTGGTTTTAAACTTCAGTTTCCACACATCAGTGTTTCCTATATAAAAGTTGCTTATGTACCCCTCCGGTTTATTCAGCATTCATCCTGATTTGCTGGGGGAAAGTGTACACAGTAAAGTTATTGTGTTGTTGTTGTTTAGATGTTTAGTTGTGTCCGACTCTTCACGGCCCCATGGACCAGAGCACACCAGGCACTCCTGTCTTCCACTGTCTCCCGCAGTTTGGTCAGACTCATGTTTGTAGCTTCGAGAACACTGTCCAACCATCTCGTCCTCTGTCGTCCCCTTCTCCTTGTGCCCTCAATCTTTCCCAACATCAGAGTCTTTTCCAGGGAGTCTTCTCTTCTCATGAGGTGGCCAAAGTATTGGAGCCTCAGCTTCACAATCTGTCCTTCCAGTGAGCACTCAGGGCTAATTTCCTTAAGAATGGATGCGTTTGATCTTCTTGCAGTCCATGGAACTCTCAAGAGTTATATCTGGTCTTTATTATGCATTTGTTCTGATTTGCTCATCCTGGCTGTTATACAGTGATGAGTATCCATCTTTATTTGCTTGTCGGATGATTACACATCATCCAATTAATTAATCATTCATTCATCCCACACTTTTTGGTGCATTTCCCCATCACTTCCCTATGTTGGCTTCATTTAGCTTTTTAGGCAGGTTTCTTCTGCAAGAAAGAAACAGGTCACTTTGTGCAAGCCACATTTCCATTGGGTGCTTGAATACCTCCTGAAAAACAGTGACAGTCTGGAGGCACCCTGTGCCAATTGACTGCTCCAACATTGCTTTCTCCCCAGAAGTAAGTAGTTCTAGGGTGAATGTTTTGCACCAACTCTGTTAAGTTGTGGGTGAACATATCAGACGACACAGCAATTCTTCAAACAGCTTTTGTTTATTCAGAGGCCAGAACAGAACTGAGCTGAAGGGCTCAGTCAGCCTGCTTATATAGAGCTCCAGTACAATGTTACTGTAGCAACTTTCTAAAACTATCCAATCACTGAACGTCACTTTCGATCCTTCATTTGAATAACTATCTACAGTATCCCCCTGCTGGCCCAGGGTGAGAACTTCAGTACATAACAAACTCCACCTTTTTCTTTTTAGTATATTCATTCATTCATTCATTCATTTATTACATTGAACATTCCAGGGTGATTTGCAATACAATAAGAGGGGCTGAGGAAACCCAGCCAGATGGGCGGGGTATAAATAAATTATTATTATTATTATTATTATTATTATTATTATTATTATTATTATACCAGAAAAATATGGTAGAACGCAAATACTAAATGCTAAGTAATAGCAGTAGCAGATTTTTGAGTAAATAAGTCTTCAACAAATGGATAAAACCACACGCCTTTGCATGCATTCATCCTGGTATTCAGACGGCCAAATGTATGTTAGAGGGGGCTAGGCGTGCAGCCCAACGCATAGGGCGCTGGCTGCCTCCCTCCAATATTTGCGTGTTTAGCACGAACGTCTGAAGTGGACGGCTAACTGCCTTCGCACTCATCGGACAGCTCCCACCGCCCACCTGCGACAAGGGGCTAATAATGAAATATAGTATATTTCCGTTTTCACTGAAAGGGAAATGTGAACTATTAAAACTAAAGGGGAGGGGCATATTTCCCTACATGAAAAATACCGAAGAAGCAAAGAGTGTGGACTTCTGCCTTTGCTACCTTGAGGGGGAGGCGGGGGACGACAGCATGCTGTATTATCACAAGGAAAGGTGATTATTCCACTATTCATTATTCCTGGAAAGGTGTCACTTCAAGCCTCACTAGATCAGAACCAGTTACAGGTAGGTAGTCGTGTTGGTCTGCCGTAGTCGAAACAAATAATAATAAAAATTCCTTCCAGTAGCACCTTAGAGACCAACTAAGTTTGTTATTGGTATGAGCTCAGAACCCGGCTTTCAGAGAAAGCAGCTTCAGACTGTGGGTGTATCACTCCACTTATTTATCTCTACTGGCGACGGAGTTTGACTCTAAACTTTTGTGTCTCTATAGCTTCGTTTCTCTAATTATTTGCAGGCATTGTGGGTAATGTAGTTTCCTTAACGTGGCCTTTGGGAAGGGTATCCTGGATGAACGCGTTCGATACACTCGCGCGCCTTCGCACAATGCCTTCTGGCTATTGTAGTTCTTCCTGTTCCGGCTGCGCGCATTGCCCTGCCTGTGTTAGGCGAGGTCTCCGCGAGATCAAAGGGCTATAGTCTCAATGTCCTTGATATATATACTTCCGGTTCAAGATTGCTCTTAGTCGGATCCTCCATGTAAGGGGCAGAAGTGGTGGAAGGACACCAGTGGAGGCACCCGTATGAAAACAAGAGAGGGTTAGAGGCTCCCTTTAGATGCAGTGCTCTTCAGCAGCGGTATATTTCATGGCTCACGGCTTTCCATTAATTTAGCCGGGCTCCCATGGGTGGGGAACTTCGATAGGAAACCGGAAGCAATATGCTTTCCTTACAAAATCTCTTTGGGCGCCAAACTTTGCGGCTTCCTCCTCCGCACCCGATTGGCCGGGCGGGCAGGCAGCGTCGGCCTCGGCGGCTTTTCGTCCAATTCCGACAGGCCATGTCGAGGAACGGCTCGACCAATGGGACCGCGGCGCTCTTCGACGCCGGCGGCTGGCCACTAGGAGCCCGGCTTGGCGCGAGCGGCTTGCTGAGGCGGTGGCGCGGGATTGGCTGGCCGCGTGGTTGCTCGAGTGGGCGGGGCGGGAGCCGGGGCTCCCCTCACGGCGCAGCGGCGTTGGTGTCTCTTCTCGCGGCGGGGGAAGGAACCCTCGGAGACAGGGATGGAGCCGGCCAGGCGGGTCGCGGCGCCGCCGCTGCTGCTGCTGTGGGCCACGGCGGCGTTAGCGTTGTTGTTGTTGTTATCGGCTCCAGGCCTTGCCGCTGCTGGTCAGTAATGGCGCTCCTGGCGGGGCCTCGCCTTCCTGGGGCCGAGTTTGGGGAGGGGAGGGAGTGACAGGCGGTTGGGAGAGGGCGGGGGGGGCGGCCTTCACCACAGAGGGGCTGAGAGGGAGGCAGAGGGAGGGGGGCTTTAGCAGGGGGAAAACCCCCCCTCCCGTTACACCCCCACCCACCCCCGCCTGTCTTGCAGGGTCAGCATCACCCTCATTGAAATGGCTTGTACGGTGCCTTGTCAAATTAGGCTTCACCTTCGCCATATGTCATGCTCCGTAGGGCACCTGGCATTCTGCTTCCCGGTGAATTTGGAGAGGAATAGTTGGGGGAGACCAGCCTGGTCTTCTCATCCATTGCCCCGGAGAAGGAGCAGCTGCTGCTGCTGCTGCATGCAGCTGCTTGCTGGCTTGCACCTACCCTGCCATAGATCGCTAGGGAACTAAAAACTAGTGCCTGAGTTTGCTGCCGCCTCCCCCTTTTTTTGTTTTGCGGTAGATTGTAAGCCCGAGGGAAGGAGAGGTCTTGTTAATTGAGCTCTGTGCGCTGATTCGGGCTAGCGAGTGGGGCGAAGATACTTCAGATGTGTGAATAAAATGGGACAGTTGTAACTTGGTTGCACCAAGAGATGCAACCTTTGGGGCCATGGCTGGCCCAATGCTGCTTTTCTTCTGTCTCCTAAATTACTTTTAAATTGGAATATTTCTGCCTTTCTTCCACGTCCCATACACACACACTCACACTGACTCAGGTGGGTTTATGTTGTGCAGCATAGTAGAACATTTGACATTTCATGAGTTGACTGAAGGTGTTTTCTTCTAGTTCCCATGCATAATGCCTGTCACTTACCTACACTTGCCACTTACCCAAAGTAACAGAGCCCTCTTGCCTTTGCCCACTCGCTAACAGATGTTAACGTTCTATGCTAATAGATTGGTGGTGAGTGTCAGGGAGGCAAGTGCATTTAAACTTGACAAAGTGGAATGTGTATATGGGCAAGGTTTTCCTTGTAGCCCATATTCTATTTAAATAAGGGTTGTGTCTATGGCTTGGGCAGAAGAGAGAGAAGACCCTAGACTATTGGAATGTAGGGGATTTCACATAGCAAGTAAGCCACTAAGCTGCCTTGCTTGGACCATGGGAAAAGACATTGGATTTTACTCCCACATACTTATGTAGGTGAATTTTGGCATCCCAGTGATTACTTCATATGCCTCTCTGGTTCATTTGTTCCTGTGGGTGAGCTGCCAAGAGGCAGTGAATTCGCTTGCTGGCGATGCAGCAAAGAGCCCAAATGAATAGGATACTCATAACGGGTGGCACTCAGAGATTCATAACACTGGTCAATGGGGTACAGCTTTATTCATTTATTTAATGGAATTTGTATACCACGTAATTGTAAAAACCTCTCGTGGTTTACATAAAATAAAATATGCATTAAAGTTAGCAATAAAAGTCAAAGTTAAAAACAATCCAGCAAAAATCAAACTATAAATAAGATCAGTAGTTAAAATGTATTAACCGATGTATTAAAATACATGTTAGTTTTACATATCTGAATTGACTTGCCCAAACAAAAAAGTTTTTAGTAGGCACTGAAAACAATACAGCAGATGCATACACCTGCCTAAGGTCAGTGTACAGGGAGTTCCAGAGTGTCACAATGAAAGTGATTCCTTGCAAGTGCAGAATAACACTTTGTGTCAGATCAAAGGGAGCATTTATGGGGTAAGGCAATCCTAAAGTAAATGGTTCCATGCTGTTATGAGTTTTATATATGAAAAGTAACCCTTTGAATTTCAGATTGGCAGTTAATGCAGATCTTTGTACAGAGATAATGTTTGGATGGGCATGTAGCTGAGGAAAGAAGGGGTTGGAGAGTGTCTGCATATTGAATAGCTAACCCAGCGGCAGCGGTTGCAAGTAACTGGTTATTTTGAATGCATAGTGTACCTTTGAGTGTATTTTACACTGCAACAACACCACTGCATGTATGTTGCTAAAACCAGAACACTTACTAATCCCTTTTTCATATGCACGGTAGCTCAATTTTATAGTTTTATCTCAGCCTAAAGATTCATTGGCCGTTTTCTTTTCCCATCCTGTTAAACAACTTAACGTGGAAGTTTTAATTACTAGCATAGCTGTCAACTTTTCCCTTTTCTTGTGAGGAATCCTATTCAGAATAAGGGAATTTCCCTTTAAAAAAGGGAAACGTTGCCAGCTATGAATTACTAGTACTGTGAGCAATTTTCTGTGCTACTTGGCAACTTATCTCAACAAAAGATATGATTAGCTGTTTTAAACTCGCCATCTGGACTTTTCCCATAAGTATTTTTTTTTAGAATAATCAATTCTGTGAAGCAAAAGAAATGAATCAACCAATGTGGCTAATAGTTTTATGCAGGAAGTGTGTTTCAGGGTTCTCTTTTTATCTTTTACAATGACCAAGACACTAAAAAGGACAGTGTTGTATCCAACAATAACTGCTGCTCATGCAATGGAACTTCACTTCTCTCTTCTCCCCTTTATCCCCCAATCTACTCTGGAGGGTTGAGGGAATCTCCAGAACAGATTTGTGAGGGTGAGGATGGGGATGGCTGCAGTTGGTGGGTGGAGAAGTTCCATGACATGAATGCAAGTGGTTCTGCATGTAATGTGTCATCCTCCTGTCTTCTGGCACAAGCATTTTAATACTTGTGAAGTTTTGGTTGGCATACAGTAATTAACTTTGGAATGAGGTTTTTTTATGCTAACCTTTTGCCACAAAATACAGTGGTACCTCGCAAGACGAATGCCTTGCAAGACAAAAAACTCGCTAGACGAAAGGTTTTTCCGTTTTCGATTTGCCTCGCAAGACGAATTTCCCCTATGGGCTTGCTTCGCAAGACGAAAACGTCTCGCGACTTTGTTTTCTTTGTCTAAAAACAAAGACATGTTTTGTTTATAAAGTTAATTTATTTTCCCTTCAATTTTTGAACTGCTCTTTACAGTATGTGTGACTTTAAAGAGCAGTTAATAAACTGTTGTTGTACCAAATTTGGCTTTGTTTGGACTTTTTTTTGACCATAGGAACGCATTAATTGATTTTCAATGCATTCCTATGGGATTTCGTGATTCGCAAGACGAAAAATTCGCTAGACGACAAAAATTGCGGAACGAATTAATTTCGTCTTGCGGGGCACCACTGTAACACATTTTTATGTGTGGCTGTAGATTTACATTACAGTCCTTGCATTTTGCAATTCATAAGTTAAACACACAGGGTGATAGCCAACTAAATTGTATTCAGAGTCAGCCAATTGAAATCTATGGACTTAAGTTCAAGTTCATTTATTTCAGTCGGTCTACTTGACTTCATTAGATTTCACTCAAAGTATATTTGAAAAGACCAGTTGGCAAAAGTGCACAGTTCAAGACAAGACTGAAATCTGGGATTGGCTCTAGATATTCCAGAGTGTGTGTATAGTCAATTTGTCATAGGCTTCCTTGAATACTGTAATAACATGCTGACAAATACCCAAGATGGGTTTTGAAAGCATCAGTCATGTGATCCAGCAGGAAGTCTGCTCATAAAGCCTTTCAGGGACAAGGACATCTAGTTTCTGTCTCTTCAACCTTGAGAAAGTTTATGGCACTTCCTGGAAATCAGGAATCAGAGACCTTAGCTATTTTGACTTTAGAGGTAATTTGCCTAATTTTGTTCCAGGTTTGGTTTTTTGTTGGACTTTTTTAAAACAGCAACGTACATTTCAAGATGTCTCCACTGCTTCGCCACCCCCAAAAGAGCTCTCCAACAGAGACAAACACACACAAACCCGAAGCCCAGGCTCCCAACCTAGCCTGGGGAACATCTCTTTTCACCCTACTCCTGACCACACTACACAGAGCAGGTGGATTCAGGGCTTCTGAATGCTACTTAAACACATTCCAAGCAAGAAGGATCCCTGCAAAGCAGACCCCTGCAGCTACCAGGACTGCACCCTTGGTGTGCAGTTCCTGCAGTACTGCTGCCCATGCGCAACTTCTATACTAGGCCTACTTGGCATCCCCATTCTGGCATTCCCCATTCCCACATTGTTGCCCCCAACATGTCCCTGCTCAGTGTGGTTCAGGCCCCAGCTGTTTCCACAGCCACCAGTGCCACCTTCTCCCACTCTATGACTGCCACTTGCCCAACAGTTGTTGCTGCTGCATTATGGGAAGCAACCACTGAAGCTGGACCAACTCACTCGCCCCTCAGTTGACACTAACATCAGATGTCACCATCACCCTGGAGGCCAGAGATTGACTGTCCTTTGGCACTGGCTCAGCACAGGGACAGTAGCCAGCTCTTCTCCTCTCCTGATTCTGGGGCTAGGTTTTCTCTTCCTGCAAATCCCAGCAGCTATTTTGTGCAGGGTAGAGTTCAGTTCAGTTTGACCCTGTGTGTGTGTGTTCCCCTGCTGGGAACAGGCACACTCAGTCAGAAATCCTTGAAAGTTCTGGGCTGCCCTTTGCAGATGCTGGCTGACTCTCCTTCCCACCCAGTCCCAGATTGCTCAAGGTGACTTGACCTGGGGTTATCTTGACTCAGTTTGGTCCAAGCCCAGATCAGCCTGTTTCAGTGTGGGCTTTGGCCGAATCCAGTGCACAGCCCTGTTACTTTTATGCCAAATATGGTTACAGTATTTTCAGGTGGTGTTGTTGTAAAATATTTTTAATCTCATTTTCAAACAAAAACCAGGAAGACATTACAAGTACAGTGGTACCTCAGGTTAAGTACTTAATTCATTCCAGAGGTCCGTTCTTAACCTGAAACTGTTCTGAACCTGAAGACCACTTAGCTAATGGGGCCTGCTGCTGCTGCTACCACGCTGCTGGAGCATGATTTCTGTTCTCATCCTGAAGCAAAGTTCTTAACCCGAGGTACTATTTCTGGGTTAGCAGAGTCTGTAACCTGAAGCGTATGTAACCTGAAACGTATGTAACCCGAGGTACCACTGTAATTGCAAGTGTAAGAACACTGATGGGAATGCGCATGTTACATCATACTGCTATCCAGAATGCAGAACAGATACTTCTCAGCTTTGAAAGTTTTAGCCCACCATCTGGATTCAAAATGTCATATGATGGTAACCAAATATAGATCACCTCTACGTTTCAGGAACTATTGTGCCAAATTGGGTGACGGTCTCATCAGAGTTGTCTCAAACGCCACAGTTTGGACTCATCATACCAAATTGGGCAACAATACCTTCAGAGGCTAAAGAAGCACCTTAACCCATAGATGGACAAACCACTTCCCCAAAACATATAATGGAAAGTCAAAATAAATATGAGCAGAGTAAGCTTCCAATTAGCCATATATCAATATTCATAATTATAGGGTCCCTCACATTATTTTAAAAGAAATTTAGTTTTTTTGTTGGGCAGATAAAATGTCAATCTGTTTTCTAGGAGTTTAATGCTGGGAACGGTAACAGAGTCAATGAGCCCTTCTCCACCGATTTTTGTTTCACATATCAATCAATTGTTGAACTTAAAGGAGAAACTGTATAAGTACTAAAAAAACAACTAAACAAACTTGACCTGTTTTTCTCCTTGCTTTGGAAAGAACATCTATTTGCTAACAATCAGCTGTGTTTGTCTACAACTTAATATAGAGCTTGTTTCTTTAGAGAGATGTTAACATGATGCAATGAGAATGAAACACTGCTTGCTTCACTGTTAAAGATACACATGAAAATACACTTACCAGTTCTGGTGGTTCAGTGGGTTCCATTGAAAATTATTTGTAACCTGATATTTTCTCTCTTTATACTTCTTCTTAATATTAGTCTGCTTATATATGGAATTTAATACATAATCACTTCAGTTTCATAGTTGTAAAGCAAATAAATTTTCAAAGAAAAATAGACCTTGTATCATCATTGCAGTTCTCTAGCAGGGTTTTTTCCAGTGCAAGCAGAACTACTCATTAAAAAACTTGATGAAATTGTATCTACTTAGGATTTGCACTATCTGCCACTAGGTGACTTCTAATAATGTGGTATGATCCCACCCCCACCCACCCCGCGCTGTTTCTACTTCTCTTCCATGAAGACTCAAAATGACTGGCTTGGCATTAAGTAAAGCATCAGGTTTAACTTTTATAAGTAAAACGAAACCAAAGTTCTCACTGCTAACCTGCAAGCTTTATGAAAACAGATAATATAAGATAAAAAGAAAGTATTCCTATACACAGCACAGAGCATTTGGTTGATCACTGTAAGAGCAGGATGCTAGACTAGATGGGCCACCAGCCTGATTCAGAAAGCTCATCTTAGGTTATCAGTGTCCTTTCTGTGAGATCTTCTATGAAATGCTATTTTTTGGCTCTTCTGTGACACGGGTGGCACTGTTGTCTAAACCACAGAACCTAGGGCTTGCCTATCAGAAGGTCGGTGGTTTGAATCCCCGCAACGGGGTGAGTTCCTGTTGGTCGGTCCTAGCTCCTCCAACCTAGCAGTTCGAAAGCACATCAGAGTGCAAGTAGATAAATAGGTACTGCTCCAGCGGGAAGGTAAACGGCGTTTCTGTGCGCTGCTCTGGTTCGCCAGAAGCGGCTTAGTCATGCTAGCCACATGACCCGGAAGCTGGCTCCCTCGGCCAGTAAAGCTAGATGAGCGCCGCAGCCCCAGAGTCGTCCACGACTGGACCTAACGGTCAGGGGTCCCTTTACCTTTACCTATGATTAGTAGAGCTATAAAATTAAGAGCTTGTCTGTAATACAGTGTATTATTTCTAGAATATATTTTATACATTGCAGAGATCAGGTGCCAATAAAAGATACCAATATCTACAAGCAGCTTAAACTGTGGAGTGACATTTGGGATGGGAGAATAAGTGTTCTACCACGCTTTTGATGAGAGCATGATTTGTTCAGATATTTTGTTTTTGAAATTGTAAAAATTTACAAATTTAAACAGAGGCTTTGTGTGGCTGATACTTTCCAGGAGATTCCCGTTCTGTTCAATAAAATTTAGGTGCCTTTGTTCCATCTAACTTATATTAAAGTACTATTTAATTTTGCAGATGAAGAAGGAACTCAAGAGGAGCCCTTTGAATCAAAGGTGAGCACGGAATCTCTGTGTGTGATTCTTGCTGATGAAAACCAATATGAATTTTCCAGTTACCAACAGGTGACAAAAGAATTATTAGGTGGAATGTAAAAAGAGCAATAAATATACATACACACAAGTATCTTAGACTATAATCATAATTGCTCCATGACATGGAGCAGAAACAGTAATTTCAACTTGGATTTTAAAAAATGGTGGGCAAGATCCAGCATTGCATGAATGGACATCCAGTAGTGCAAAGAGTCTTCTTCATTCTGTCTTCCAAACCCTCCAGATGTCCCTGCTATGGCAGGTTGGGAATACCCTCCAGAGCAGATCTGGGGGGGGGGTGCAGGGGTTTGAGGGTGGAGAGGAGAAACCAAAGTTCTTTTGCACAAGAAAATGGTCATAATCTGATCTCACCAAAAGAAATTTAGGGCTGCGGTAGGATAGTGTAGGAGGAAATAGATGAGCTGCTGTGAGTAGAGAACAGGCTTACATGTTAAATCAATAGACTAGATTCTGAAAGTAAGTCTGAGTGAGTGAACAGGGCACATACTCAAAATAAGAAGAATGCTCAAATCCTTTGACTCTTTGCATGCATTTAGTGTACGCCTAAATATGAAAAGAGGGACGCGGGTGGCGCTGTGGGTAAAACCTCAGCGCCTAGGACTTGCCGATCGCATGGTGGGCGGTTCGAATCCCCGTGGCGGGGTGCGCTCCCGTCGTTCGGTCCCAGCGCCTGCCAACCTAGCAGTTCGTAAGCACCCCCGGGTGCAAGTAGATAAATAGGGACCGCTTACCAGCGGGAAGGTAAACGGCGTTCCGTGTGCTGCGCTGGCTCGCCAGATACAGCTTGTCACGCTGGCCACGTGACCCGGAAGTGTCTGCGGACAGCGCTGGCTCCCGGCCTATAGAGTGAGATGAGCGCACAACCCTAGAGTCTGGCAAGAATGGCCCCTACGGGCAGGGGTACCTTTACCTTTACTAAATATGAAAAACCCCAGCTTTGTTTGCATTTGTCAAAAATCTTCTGCATATGAGAGGTGATCAGAAGCTTTTATCTACTTTATTCTCCCTGCTGCTCATTCCCTAGACAACCTTGCCTTCTGAGGAACAGGTGAAAGACCATTCAGCTGGAACCCATGTGGTAGCAGGTCAGATCTTCATTGACTCTGATGAACCTGAGTCTCACATTGAAGATGGAGAGAGTTTCAGAAGCCAAGAGGAGGAAAAGGAAAGAACTTTGGAGGAGCTAAATTCTCTAGAACTGTCATCCCTATTAAATAAGGATTTGGAAGAGGTAGAAGCACAAAAAGCAGGTAATCTTGGTTGGTTGGTTGGTTGGTTGGTTGGTTATAAGTTGCTTTGGGTTGCCCTGCGCAAGATAAAGTGAATTAATGACTAAATAAAAAAATAAGTTTGGGGCTTGTGTTTCCCTGCAAGAATACTCTTTTGTTTGAGCTGTGTAATTGAAGTTTTATAACTTTTCACAAGTTGAATTTAAAAAATTAAGAGTAAAACTAGTAAATCTCCTCAAGAATAGCTTGGTGTAGTTTATTCAGTCCATTAATGGTGACAAATACTATTCCTTGGGTTGCATCGGTTTCAGTGGTAGAAGATCCAATTCTTCTCTTCAAAAATTGTTTCTATTCATTATAGAACATAAAGCTGGAATAAGTAAGTGTATGGAATTGTGGCATCAGAATTGCTAATATTCCCTTTTGATACAGGTCTAAAGTAGTACTGCTTTGTTTAGCTATGTAGTCAACCCCCTTTCATTCTTTGTTACAGGGCTACAGAATTGATTGGTTTAGAACCATAGAATCATAGAGTTGGATGGGTCATCTAGTCCAGGAATCTCAACTAAAGATCCAGGGTTGCCATACGTCCGGAATTTCCCAGACATATCCAGAATACTGCAGTCAGCAGCAGTGTCTGGGCAAAAAAAGCTCAACAACTCTCCCTCCTTAACAAACTCCAAGGAAGGAGAGTCCACAGCCTCCCATGGAAATTTGGTCTAAACAAAACTGGCAAAAAGAGAATCTTCAAATGTTTAAAGACCAGTTGGCATTTATGAGGATTTGAACTTTAGGGGTAGGACTGGGAGGCTGTATACAGCTTGTTAGATCTTGCTGAGGAAAAGTAAGACTTGTTAACTTTGTACAAAATGTTGATGGAGCCTACTTAAGGAATAAGTCTGCTTTTCATAGCTCAATCGTAGGGCTGCTTTGCACCAGTTCTAGCTTTAATAAGGGGAAGGCTTGTGGCAAGAGGCAAGCGGCTTGTGAGTCTGCCGAGCCTCTTTGGTTGCAATCTCTTTATATGAGAATAAAGCCAGCTGAAGATATAAGATTGCGCTGTTATGGTCTTAAACATGGAACTGAGTACAAGGAAAGTGAATGTGTATAAAACTCTCAGAGATTTCCCACCTCAAGAACATTGATCTAGAAGAGCATTAGAGAGGTTTAAGTGTAAAGATATGCAAAAATCTGTTTATTTCCAAAGAACAGTCAACATGGCTTTTTTATAATAGTTAACTACATTCTACTCTTAAGTTTCAAAATGAAACACACTCTACAGTATCTGTAAATTGATTCATATATGTTGTTGTTGTTGATGATGGTGATAATAATAATAATAATAACAACAACAATAACTATAAGTAGCAGTAATAGTAGTAAAAAACGGTAAAGGACCCCTGTATGGTTAAGTCCAGTCAAAGGTGACTGAGGTGTGGCACGCATCTCGCTTCAGGCCGAGGGAGCCGGTGTTCACAGGCAGCTTTCTGGGTCATGTGGCCAGCATGACTGAACCACTTCTGGTGCAATGGAACACTGTGACGAGTGCCAGTGTGCACAGAAATGGTGTTTACCTGCCTGCCACAGTGGTACCTATTTATCTGCTTGCACTGGTGTGCTTTTGAACTGCTAGGTTGGCAGAAGCTGGGGCAGAGCAACCCCGTCGTGCAGATTCAAACTGCCGACCTTCTGAACAGCAAGCCCAAGAGGTTCAGTGGTTTAGACCACAGCGCCACCCACTCCCTGGTGGTGGTGGTGGTGGTAGTAGTAGTACTACTACTACTACTAGTATACACACGAGTCACCATTGTACTTTAACTGGCAAGTGGCTGAAAGTTTTGGTCCATTACTGTCAACTACTCAGTGCAAAGTATCCAGTGTTAATAAAGCATATTGAACCTGGAATCTCCCAGAGGTTTGAAACTGCAAGCAAAGCAGTAGTCACTAAACTGTTATGAAACCTTTTTAGATATCTAATTATAACATGCTTGAGAATAGATGTGCTTCATGCATGATAGACACAGGATGTGTAGCCTGATTTTAACTTCTCTCCTAATGCCACGTCAACTATAATCACTGACTTTATGTAACTTTCAGACTAGCATTACATCTGAAAACAACTCATAGAAACCTAAAGCTGCACAAATGCAAAGCTGTTTTCTCCTTCTGTTAAGAAACTTTGGCAATATCCATTGTCACACCAGCAGATGCAACAGGACTTTATCCCTTCCCCCCTAACCCCCATCTGCTCCAGGGGGTCCCCCAGTCCTCTGGAGCAGGAGTTTGGGGGCATACTGGGAGCTGTAAGGTGGGAGAAGAAGAGAAAGTTGCACAAGTAGAAGTTCCATATGCCCAGATTTCATTAGATGCTAGGATTGAACAGCCCCCATCACAGAGGAGAGGTGCAGGGAGCTTATCTCTTTAAACAAGCAAAGTGGTAACTGATATAGGCACTTTTTCCGGTTTGATGAGCAGATTGCACCTTTTCCTGGTCCTTCCTCCACTTCTGCTACTTAAATGTGGCAACCATTTCTGCCACCCCCCTGGCCCCAAAGGTTTGGCAGGCCTTCCCCTATGTCTTTAGCACAGAAAGACCTGTTGAATTCAAGCAGATGTGAGAGAGGTTTCCTCTATAATCAACTTAATCAAGCAATAGCCTTATAATAGGTGTGTCAGTGAGAATTTCACTTTACAGTGCTTTGTTTCTCCTGGTTATTGAATTCTTCTGAATATCAAATTGCTTTTCAGCTTGATAATTAATAACAGGAAATATGTGCACTGTATGTGAGAGTGTTCAGAGCTGCCTAATGTGTCTGAATTGCTATGCAACAGCAATGAGACATGGTGTAAACAACTTTGCACACGTGGTCCTTTTGCTGCCAGGCGATAATTACTAATTAGTGAACTACCAGTCTCGTGTGTGTGATTTCCTGAATTATTGTAATTTCCAGAGCTTCTAACTAATCCTAACTATGTGTACTCCTGTTGAATTCAGTGGGGCTTATTCCCAGGGAAGTTGGGATAAGATTGCCATACTGAAAATTGATACTTTGATTTAGGTTGCAATCTTATAGACAATTTCTACATTTTGAAAGGAAAATACCAAAAGATGCCACATGTTCTATTTTAACTAAAACACTAGGTAAAAACAAACTCTTAGCAGCAGTTGAGCTCCTTCCTTCAAGATATGTTAATAATGCAAGACATGTTGGGTTGTTGTTGCTATTGCTGTTTTTAGTTTTGACAGCCATTGGAGGAACTGCAGATGGTGAGCCATGCTACTTCCCCTTTCTTTTTCTGGAGAAGGAATACTCAGAATGTACTGCAGATGGAAGGGAAGACGGTAGACTCTGGTGTGCAACAACCTACGACTACAAGGCTGATCAAAAGTGGGGCTTCTGTGAAAGTAAGTATGGCAGCTATGCTAAGAGATTCCATTATTGAGCTGCGTGAGATTAAGTCAATGAATGGTGCTGAGACAGAAATTGAATACCTGTTCTTATAACAATAGGACTTGGGGGTCATCTGCTGAAGTTATTTGGGACAGACAAAATAATAAGTGGATTTGGCTCCTCCAAGGTCTGGTGGTGGCCAGTGGCTTAGATGGCTCTAATAGGAGATTAGCCAGATTATTTGGGGAACCTCCAAGTACCCAGTGTTGAAAACAAAAGAAGATGAGGTCACTGTTGCCTTTTTGCTTTGTGAATTTCCCTTGATCTAGCTGCTTTCCACTGTTTCCCCCATAGTAGTGGAAAAGTAGCTGGGAAAGGGTGCTTTTTACTTAAGAAAAAACTGTGGGGACAAAACTTGGAACTGACAGCAGCATGCAGTTTGGTGTTAAGGAACTGTAAATTAACCTTGCTGGGAGAATAAAAGTTGCTCTGGTCACCATGAAGTAGTAAATATGATTTTATTTTCCAGAGTTCAAAAAGATGCTTGTCACTCTTTTTAACATGACCACCAAACTCTGTGCTAGGTATACTTTTGACTATTTTCAGTTCATGGTTAACTTTGTTTCCTTCGGAGCCTTTCCCCTTTTGGCTTCTGCAAGGCAAAGAAATATGAAGCACAGTGGTTTGTTAAAAGCACAGGAACCCAGTGTGAAATATGTAGGTTGTGGTATTCTATAACAGCCCAGTTAGCTGCCCTGAGAACTGTGTGAGCAGTGTCTTGGTGGCTAAAGTATTAATTATTCTTTTTTATACTTTTCTTTAAAAAAAAAAGCTGAAGAAGAATCTAATAGGAGAAGACAAATGCAAGAGGCAGAGGATGTTTACCAGACTGGAATGAAAATCCTTAATGAAAGCAGTAAAAAGGCCCAGAAGAAAGAGTGAGTTACATGTGTGCGAGAGAGAAAGAGAATTAAGCCAGTTTTTAAATTTATAAATGTGACTGGCCAACTTTATTTTATACTGCTAAAATTATGTTTTCAATTGCAAATAATACATAAAGAGGAATGCAGTGGTTTCAAATCCAACTTCATAGAACTGTTGCACTTGCAAGTGAAATTTTAAATAACTGTTGTGATGAGTTTAACTTGTCTCATCCAAGTATATGAGTAACTGTGATCTTGGATAGGTGGCAGAAAAGCCCAAGAAGGATCCATAACCTGGGCACAGCTGCTGAGAAGGCTTCTTTCTACATTCTCACCAGATATGCCTTAGATATAGTTGTTTACAGTCTCAAGTGGGAGCTTCCATGTGTAGGTCTTCCATGCTAGAACGAAGGAACTGCCTCCATACCCCAAAACTACTTGGGTTCTGGCTATCTAGGAAACAAGCAAAGAACATTTGTTGTATGATACTGGTTCCTTGGATCCTTTCCTTTGTAGGTTTTGGCCTGGTTTTGTTACTGAAACATCTTTTGTTACAGCTGTGGGTGGTCCATGCTATGAACTGAGCAAGGGTGTGTTTTTCTGTTGGTTCTGCTGGACCTCTCCGTGGCTCTCAGTACCTTCCACTATGGTATTCTCTAGGGCAGGGCTTTCCAAACTGTGTGTCACAACACGTTAGTGTGTCGGCTTCAGTGTGTAGCTGTGTCACGTGAACGCTTCCCACACTCCTCCCGGGGCTGGAAAGGGGTTAGTTTAACCTCCAGTTTTCCAATAAAACTGAATTACTGTGTTGCGAAATGATGCATACCTAAAAAGTGTGTCACCAACATGAAAAATTCTGAAAGTTCGGCTCTAGGGGTATCTCACTGTGTTGGGAGAGGAGCACCATTTTATGCCTACCCCTACCTTTCATAGCAGATGGTTCCTGCTCAACTTTGTGCCCTTACAGAATTCTACAAAATTTTGTCTTGTCCCCATGCTGTTTACTATTGACATGAAATTGCTGGTGCTGGGTTTTTTGGATTTGGATTTGGGTGTCATCACTTTGCAGATGATACTTACTTACTTACTTACTTACTTACTTACTTACTTACTTACTTGTGTTCACACCTATTCTTTTTCTTTAAGAGCCTATCAGTATCTTATGAGAGCAGCTGACATGAATCATACGAAAGCAATGGAAAAAGTGTCTTATGCCATGTTGTTTGGGGACTACTTGAAGCAAAACGTTCGGTCAGCTAAAGAACTCTTTGAGAAACTGACTGAAGAAGGATCTCCTAAGGGGCAAACAGTATGTATACCTTAAAGTGTCCTCCTTTGTTAAGCAGTGTATGGACGTTTGTAAAATTGTATATGACTTGCGTTGTGTGGTTTGTTCTAAGGAGCGTGCATTTCCTCTGCTCGTTGGCAGCCCTCCTTGCATGCAACCTGCCAAAAGGAATGATCAACCTGTTTTGCTGTCACTGTTTCTGTGTTATAAGGCCTCATATACCTCCAGGGCACCTATGGCTGATGTAAGGTTTGCCTGCTCGTTTGGTGTTACCTAAAATAGTTTGCTCATATCAAAGCACATGTTCAGCTATCCACATAGATCGTGCTCAGTTGCTCTGAGAGGTATGGCAGCAGTTCTCAGGGTCAGCCAAGCAGGACAGGTGGTTTCAGTAAGAACTACATCTGCGTCATGTTCATACCATTTTAAAAGAGCTTCATAGACTTCAGCTAGGTTTTTTTCCACTTCAGAAAGGAAAAATGAGGTCTTAAAGTGATGCAGAATTACTTGTCTAAATTATACTTTTTCCTTAACGGCAAATTTATTACTGAGATTAGTAAAACCTGACTTTCCATTCCATTTTAATCTCTCAACAAGCATATCACACCTTTTGGTATCCACCTAATCTTCAATGAGTTGGAGCCAAAATAAAATCCTGTGTGTAGCTTTTCTGTTGGGGTTGGTGGGGCCGGGGGGTTAGCCCATCGAGGAACATAAAGGTTGCATTGTTGTGAGGTTTTCCTCCTATTCTTGCTGCAAGCCTATTTTTAGATTGGCTCACAGACAAATGAACTCTAAGGGTAGTAATCTCCATAATAAACTTTTAGCTTGTGTACCGTACTATGTTGCTTTAAAATTTAAGATTCAGGTGTTCCTTTCCTGCGCTGCAAATGTTCTGCCTGGTTACTGTTGTGAAATGCCTAGTTTGTTGACACTAACATAAACATGTTATATGGACAATATTTCAAATCCTTTTACTTAAAAAGCTACGTACTGTTGCAAAAATCCATACTTTCCGAAAGAGTAGTTGTGTAAGTTTATTGTAACACCTTAAAGATTAAATAATAATAATTAAAATAAAACCTTGTGACTTACTCAAGCCAGATAAGCAACCCTTGCACTGCGCCTGAAAGGTCAGAATCCTGCTATCTGCATACTTTGTATTAACAATAAATATATAAGCACAGTAACCTTGTAAAGCAGGTTGTAATAGTAGTTAAACCAGTCCTGAAATCGCCACTTGTGAACTGTGTTCTTCCATTTCAGGCTCTTGGATTTCTCTATGCCTCTGGCCTTGGTGTTGATTCCAGCCAAGCAAAGGTATGGCAATTCTGCTGATGTTTCCCCAAGTCTTTTTCTGATGAAAATGCCAGTAAAAATAATGTTATTAACCAGCCTCTGCTTTTTTTCTGTAGGCACTAGTTTATTACACTTTTGGTGCCCTTGGAGGAAATTTGATAGCGCATATGATTCTGGTAAGTCCATTTGTCATCTAACACACAAGTAATTGAATAAAACCTGCAATGTATCATATTACCAGAAGGAAATCATATTACAATATCTAAAAGTACAAGGTGTTCTGTTCTGAAGCATTCGTTTTATTTTTATGGCTTAGTCTGTTTTTAAGTGCAACATTTCCCTGTTTAGTACTTGAGACCAGCTGGATAACTCAGTTGGTTGCAGCATGGTGCTGATAACACCAGGGTTGCAGGTTCAGTCCCCATACTGCAGAGCTGCATATTCCTGCATTGCAGAGGGTTAGACTAGATGATCCTCAGGGTCCCTTCCAACTCGGTGATCTCTTGTTTCTAAAAGCCTTTGAATCAGTCCCTTGGTATAAAATAATTGCTTCAAATCCTGCTGTATAAATAGTGCAGTTGCTCCTAACTTAACACTAAGAATGTGCAGCTGTGAATCCTCAACATCTCTCCGTAGACCACAGTTGAGGAGTCATCCCAGGGGAGTGCATGCCAGCAGAGGCTAAAACAAAAGTGGCAGGGGCGCCACACAAAAGCACACTCTCATTCAAGCCCTCTTTGGTACTGCTCAGCTGTTTTTCCTGATCAGCTGGACCACCAGGGGGCAGAGGTGAGGGAAGAGATCACTGTGAGAGGATGATGAAAGTTCACACCCTGGTTTAGCTATTATGGAAACAGCTGTGCAGTAGCAAAGAAGGGACTTGGAGAACTGCTGCTTCAAGGCACTCCAAGCCTGTGGAGTACATGGCTGTGTGTCTCCTCCAATGCTCACAATGCTGTGCCACCTCCCCCTTCTAGTGGTGATTCTAGAAGGCGGCACTTCTGTGGCCTTGCTTGAATCTCTGCTACGGATACGTTGGTGGTCTGGTCCAAACCACCAGTTCCCCTACCCCTGCATGAGACTGCTCGCAGCACAGGCAGCCTTTTGTTCCCAGTTGTCTACACAAACATGTTAACTTTCCTCATTATTATTATTTTTTAATGAGACATTCCTGCATGTGGTAGATTTTGGTCACATATGCAGGATAAGAAAGACGCAATAAAGTTTGGTTTTCGGTGGGTTCTCATAAGCCAAAGCTGCAAGCTATTATGCAGGGAACCACTGTGTGGATGTTTTTAAGAAAGCCTTCCATGTTCAAAAATGCCAGAATTATAACTGTGTTCATAGTTTTTCATGAAAACAAAATCTCAATTGAATATGATGATTGTCTTTCACCTTTTCTCTCTGTCACCATCTGCTTGAAATAAATTCAGTTATAAAACAGCAAGATCCATTTTTTAAATTTGTGTACTATTCCCAAATTGTGATGGATTTATTTTTTATTTTTTTTTTTTGTCGTCTTAATAGTAAGTTGGAATAACAAGAGTGGCTTCTTTCTAGGGCTACCGGTACTGGGCTGGGATAGGAGTCCTTCAAAGTTGTGAATCTGCTCTCACACATTACCGTCTAGTAGCCAATCATGGTATGTGTATGTTTGTTTAAACATCTATTTATATATTTCCCATTAACTAAAATGTCCACACTGAACTGTGTGCTTGTCAAGGTAGATGTCAGTATGTGAAAGTATGGATATCTTTTTCTGTTCTTCAGTGTGCCTTGAACAGAAATAAGATTAGCCTCTTAACATAAAGTGAAGTTGGTACAACAGCCATTATGCATTTTTAGCAGGACTGGCCCATCCCGCTTCTCCACCTGAGGTGAAACGGAAATGTGTTCTCTGTTTTGCCTGCCCTACCACTGCCAGCAGAAGTGATGGACCAGGTGGGATGCTGCCTCTTGCGTTTCCACTGCCTGAGGTGGCTGCTTCACCCTGCCTCATGGGTGTGCCGGCTCTGATTTTTAGATTGAACGTAGAATCTGCACTGTGGGAAAAGCATAGAATACTTTTTGTTGCTCAGCCTAGTTTTAAGAGATTCAGTCTCTACTGTCAACAATATCATATTGATTTAGGTTTCATTTCAGATTTATTGCCTATTTCTACAACACAAGGTATGGTTCTATTACAGTTTTCTGTTTAATCTCTTGCAACCCATGCTCAGTAACTCCTCATCCTCTTTTATAGGGCTTTTGTATATTTTTGAGGGGAAGTTCACACATTTGGGGTTTTTAGGTTTATGTGCAAGGGGTGTTAAGTTTGTGCATTAAAATGTGCAGATGTGTGCTGCTAAGGTACACTTGTTAGGGCACACAGAGACGAAGCTGCAGCCAGCCATTTGATTCTGCACTTGGTGGCAAGTATACTACTATGTGCAGTGCAGAACAGTCCTGAATCTGACTGGAATGGTTCCTCTCTGTTTCTTTTGAGCAATTGTATTTGAGTAACTTCTAACCAGGGTTTTTGTTCTCTCTCTAGTGGCTAGTGACATCTCTCTAACAGGAGGCACAGTGGTGCAGAGAATTCGTCTTCCAGATGAAGTAGAAAATCCAGGAATGGCAAGTGGGATGCTAGAGGAAGATTTAATACAATATTACCAATTCCTAGCTGAAAAAGGAGATGTTCAAGCACAGGTATGGTTAGATAGAAAGGGAAATGGTTGTTCTTGGAGAATGGTATAACAGCAACATATAAGTAAAGAGCTAGAAAGCTATAGGTCATACATCAACGTCACTGACTTCATGATAAGATTACTGCAAAGCGCTCTATGTGGAACTTCCCTTGTTCTTAATCTGGAAGCTGCAGTTAGCACAGTTGCTGACATGAATGAGACCCTCTCATATAACACCTCTGCTCGAAGGACTGCACTGATTGCCTGTTGGATATTGGTCCAAGTTCATGGAGTTACTATTGCTTTATAGAGGCCTTAATGGCTTGGGACCAGTTTTCTTGGGGGGAATTGCCTTGCCCCATATGTGTCCACTCAACCTCTTTTATCTGCAGAACTGGCACCATTACAGGTTCCATACAATATTTGTTCCGCATTATAAGAAATTGTTCTTTTATTAGTTTGGCAGCACTTTGGAACTCCCTGCCTATTGACATCAGGCCTTCGCTGTATTCTATGTGGTGCCTGCTTAAAATGACTGTCCAGACATACAAAAAATACATGTGTTTTATTTCTTTTCAGCTGCTGTTGATTTTAATCGTTGTTTTTTAATATCTTTAAATACTCATTTTCAGCAACAATGTTAAAGTTTTATTTCATATTTTTTTGAACCGCTTACAGAATTTCTTACATGATATTTGTTTTTAAAAGTAATTAACAATAGAAGGTTGACATGTTGGGGCAGGTGAGAAAGATTGTATCATAGCAACTAAACTGGGGATAGGAGTCTGTGATCCTCCTCCACGTATTGATGTACTCCAACTCCAATCAGCCCCAGCCAGTGTGGGCAGTGGTCACGGATGATGGGAGCTTTAGTCCAGCAACACTGGGAGGATCGTAAGTTCCCCAGCCATGAACCAAACAGTTTGGCTGTGGCATTTTGAGCACATGAGAGCTTTAGGGAGGAATGCATGACCTCTAAAGGTAGAGGATCAGAGACAATTGGTCTCCTTCACTTTTTCAAAATGTGAGTGACAGTCAAATTTAATTAAAATGTGTGTGTTGTCCTTCTATAAAGTCATGAATGCGTCCATTCAGCGGCACACCTGTGCTCTGTGCAGCACACTTCAGAGTTGGACACATTTTCTGTCCTCCGCACATTCAGTGGCCTTTTCTTATGTTTCTTAAGCAGGAACTGCCCATCCAAGAGGCTCTTGTTGTCCAAAGTTCACTGTGAAATTCACGATTGACCGAATTTTTAGCAGATACATCCTGACACAGCATTAACTGAACAACTTTGTATCTTTTTTTAATAATGCTTTTTATTAATTTTTTAACATAAATATACAGTTTTAATCCAAATTTTCACAAATTCCATACTTTTGGACTTCCTTCAACTTCTCTGACAATCATCCATATTTAACTCTTGCTTACGCATTTCTTCTGTTCTCTATTGCCATTAGTCCCCCCTCCAATCATCCATTTTCATTTAACAATATACCTCAGTTTTTACAGTGCTTCTTTAAACCCCACTAGCGTTGTTTGTACTTCACATGTACTTTTCAGATATTCCACAAATTTCCCCCAGTCCTCGATGAACTTTTGGTCTCGAACTTGTCCAGTTCTGCGTAGTCTGTTAATTTCATCCTCCATTCTTCTTTCGTCGGTATTTCCTCTTGTTTCCACTTCTGGGCCAGTAGAATTCTTGCCGCTGTAATTGTGTATTGAAAAAGTTTATAGTCCGTCCTTCTTATTTCCTTCCCTGTAATCGCTAAAAGTAAGGCTTCTGGTTACTTAACAAATGTATGCTTCAACATTTTTTTCATCTCATTATATATCATCTCCCAGAAGCCCTTCACTTTCTTACACTCCCACCACATATGATAAAACGTTCCTTCTTTTTCTTTACATTTCCAGCACTTATTACAGGTTTTATACATTTTTGCTAATTTTACTGGCATTAACTGAACAACTTTGTATCTGAAAAACAACCAGACATAATACTACACTCATAACCTACAGACATCCAACTTAACAATCAGCATTAGAATCCTTTTTTCTAAAACACATAAGTTTTCAAGTCATAGCATACTGGTAAAGCAGTGCAAGCCGGTTGCCTGTGTGTGATCTGAGGCTGTGTTGTACTGGAAGGTTTTCTTTAGTTAGGCTCTCGAAGCTGATCATTGCATTTAGGTAAGTATTTAACAGTCTAGGAAACAGTGGCTTGAATTGAAAAGGAAATTGGGATTGTATGGGTAGAACTCAAACGAATCTTATTTTATTTTTTAGAAAGAAGAAGTTAGGTGTATTCAAACATAAATGTCATGTCTAGGAAAAACTGCTTCATCTTGTGTGTGTGTGTGTTCCCATCTCTGCTCTAAAACATTCAGTCTGCAGCCCTAGGACGACACATGGCCCTCAGCCTAATTTCAAAGGCCCTTTGCAAGTGATCAGTTCAGAGTTCTGATGAGTTTGCTGGGGAGGGAGAAAATGAGACGGTCTTTTGACTCCGTTTGACTCAGGGCCCCATCCACTGCTGAGACTTGGTCCCTGACAGATGACCCCTAAGCAAACATGTCCCTCAACAGAAGGGTTGCCCACCCCTATTTTAATGTATCAGTAATTTATCACTGCTTGCTGGCTTCAGGTTATTGTGTTTAATGAAGCAGGGCAATCACCTCCTCAAAGTATTTCCTTTCCCTTATTGCTATATGTTTTGCTCATTCTACAATATACATGACAAGTTTTCAATTAATGTTCTAGGTTGGACTTGGGCAGTTGCATCTGCATGGCGGAAGAGGCGTAGAACAAAATCATCAGGTATGGTTCATTTGCTGTTTTGGTAATACAGTGAATGGTTCATAAAGTCTTAGTTGGAAGGGTCATCTAGTCCAATGTCCTGCATTGCGGTCCCCCATCCTATTTGAAACTATCCTGGTCCCTGCTTAGCTTTGCAAATGTGCTGGCAGTTTTATTGCTGCACCATTAGAAATCAATTAACAGTCAATCAATTTTAGTTCCACATTAATTGCATTGTAATAGTATTATTAATTAATATACCGCCCTATACCTGGAGGTCTCAGGGCAGTTCATATAAAAAGTAACTGGGCTGAAACTGGAATGCTATATGTGTAATGCAGCAGCTATCTGTTCTGTTGCTGTGTTATGACTGTTTGATAATAAGCACTTAAGAATTTCAGTATTTAATAGTAATCTTGAAGTTAGGAAAGTGAACATGCAAGGAGCAAGATTCCAGTTAATGCACAAGGTGTATCTCAGCTCTTGTATTCTTAAGCTGTTTCATATATAAGATCATACATCTATCTGAAATGAGAATCTAGTTTATATTGTGTATCTGAACCAAAGCCTGGCTTGGGTTTTTTCTGTTCTGGAAACATCCAACTTAAACTGCTGTATTGCATTAAATGTGGCATTGCCTTGAAAGATAATTTGGGACCTACATCTAGTGCAGAATGCTGCAGGTTGGTTGCTAACTGGGACAAGACGGCTTGAACATGTAACACTGGTTTCTGGCCCAACTTCATTGACTGCCAGTTTGTTTCCAGTTAAAAGTTGTGGTTTTGAGGCTCTGAATCACCTTTCCCCATATAAACCTGCCCTGACCCTGAGATCATCATTGGAGGTTCTTCTCTGAGCACCACCCCACAAAGATGGTCTGGAAAGTGACAGTGAGAGAATAGGCCATTTTTGTAGTAACTTTCCCTACTTTTGTAATGCTTTCCCAAGGGAGGCCTGCCTGGCACCAACTCTTCCATTGTTATGGCACCAGGAAAAACTGTTTTCATTTTCCTGAGCACTTGGGCAGCACCAATAATTGGGTACTTTTACGCCAGTTAGGTTTATGTACTCTTTACTGTATCATGATGTTTTATACTTGTAAATTGATTCAGGACATTATGTTATGGTAAACAGTTTATGAATTTAATTAACTAATACAAACTTGCTCGCTTGGCTGAGTAAGCAGTGAAGCTGGTTGTTATTATTGCCAAGTTTTCAAGATTGCCAGGTCAAACAACACAACAAAGAGCACATTTAACTGAGTTCTGGAATTACGTAGCAATAGTTATGGATGTTTTCTCTTATTCCATTCTCTAGCGAGCTTTTGAATACTTCAATCAAGCAGCTACTGCTGGTAACTCCCATGCTATGGCATTTTTGGGAAAGGTAAGACACACAGTACGTTTGGGAAGATATTCTGGGTTGTCACTGAAATCAACTGGCTAACTGCTTTTAAAAAATAATAATCTAAAGGTGAACCTGGGTGCTTAAGATGGGCCTTTGGTCTAATTCAGCAGGGCTGCTCTTATGTTACATCCCCCCACCCCAAAAAGTTTTTCCTTTAAGTATTTTTAAGACTTTAGTTAGTTGGGCAGCAATGTTTCTGCTTTAGTTAGAGCGGAAGTTACAGTAAAGTGTACTAAGGTTTCATTATGCATGAAAGAGTCTCTCAGCTCATGTCTCTTTTTCCAAAAAATCTTCAGTTACATTTTGTTCTTCCAGATGTATTCAGAAGGAAGTGATATTGTACCTCAAAGCAATGAGACAGCTCTTCAGTACTTCAAGAAAGCTGCTGATATGGTATGTTTCTACTAAATGAGCATTTTAATTTTCATAGTTGTCATAAAAGTACAGTGTTTGAGGTCCCAGTCAATAGGACGCATGACGCCTTGTGCTGACGGTACATAGGCCGCCAGGCCAAGAATTATTTATGAAATCATTCTTGGACGTTGTCAGAGGCAGTTTACAGAAAAAGAAATACTATACAAAATTGATAGTGGCAGTCATATAATCAATAACCAAAGACAGAGAGCAGTTTAAAACAAATGGAACACCAACAGGACCAGTGTCTGAAAAAAGGAAGAGTTTTTAAGGCTCATTTAAAAATCAGCAGCTCTGTAAGGAGGGAGTTGCACAATTCTGTCTGTCATCACAGAAAAGGTTGTTTCTTGTGCCCCATCTTAACTGCAGGTACATGAACAAGTCCTCTGAGGTAGATCTTAATGCCTGCATAAGTTTGTACAGGTGTAGGCAGTCCTTCAGATAATAAGTTCTCAAACTAGTTGGAACTTTGAAGGTCAAAATCAGCACTTTGAGATAACAGTTCATTCCTTTTCACATGCCTTCAGCCCAAGAATTATACCTTCAACACTGCCTGAAGCTATCAAGTGTCTGACATCAAATTTGTCCTAGCTTTCAGTGGAATCAAGAATTTTACAGAGCACATACAATAGGCCTAAACTTGGCATTGTGATGCTTTTTTGAAGGCCTAAAAACATATGTTCTTTTATTCTTCAGAATGTTAGAAATACGTGGTGAAGATCTAGATTCAAACTTGTAATTGCATTCCAATTTATTCCCTTTCATTTTTTAGGGCAATCCAGTAGGGCAGAGTGGCCTAGGGATGGCTTATCTGTATGGAAGAGGTGTTCCAGTGGTAAGTCTGCCTGGCACTTTAATGTGGCAGTACTAATCTTCTAGGAAAGAGCCGTTTATGTGTAAAATAAGTGACTCACTTGCCTTGAAAAATTAAAGCCGTTTGTATTTATGTAGTGCCATCGCTCTGCGTGGTGCTTTAGGGTGCAAGAGGGCAGGGCTTGAAGCCCATAATTTGACCTGGGGGTGAAGAGGAGGAAAGGCAGAGGTAAACAGGGAAAGAACACATATTTTAGTTATATGTTGTCGTGATTACGCTTGGGCATTGGGAATATGGGATTTTGCCAGAGGCTTCATAGAAAATGTAGGTTTTGAGAATATGAGGAAGTTCTGAGAATTGAAACAATAAAGTGCAGCAAGGGAGGAAATACAGAGTTGCTTAAGAGAGCCGGGTGGGGGAGTGGGGTTGGCTGTTCTATGTGACAGTGCTGGATAACGGAAGGTCATATTCGAGGATGTATTGGGAACCAAGAAGGAGAGAGAGGGCTGTCCCATAAATCACAAGGAATCCCATTTAATCACAAGGAAAGGGAGCTTCTGCTAGATCTGAGAGTAGACAGGAAGCCCACGTAGGGTAACTTGAGATTGCCAGGGCTCAAGTTCAATATAGCTTTCCCCTTCTAGTATCAATATCTGTCTCCCGTGATATATCAGTTGCCCATTATCCACACTTTCCAGAAACAGCTGAAGACATTTTTGTTCTGACTGACTTTCCAAGCTGGACAAATGGGACTTTATCACAAGTTTACACTTGTTAGGGTCTTAGTTTTCTTTTAAATGTATTTGTTGTTGCGTTTTTAACTGTTTTAATTATATTGTGCGAAAATTGCCTTGAGATGCAGGCTTAGAAGTTACATTAACTGTAATAATAATAATAATAATTAATAATAATAATATAATCCAGTAATAGCTATAAAAGTGTCTGGTAAAACTTTCAAAGTGACGTAGAACTCCAACAATCCTGATTATCAGTTGTCTTTGTCTTCTTGCAGAATTATGAGCTAGCCTTGAAGTATTTCCAGAAGGCAGCAGAACAGGGATGGGTTGATGGGCAGCTTCAGCTGGGCTCCATGTATTACAGTGAGTGACTTTAAGCCTATGTTCAGTATCTACAGCTTGGGGTCTGCAGTACTAGTTGGTGACCAGGAGGTGGCAGTTGCACTCAAAAAATGGTTGGATTTTTAAGAGTAAAAATACAGTGGTACCTCCGGTTACGTACCGTAGATTCCGGCGTATTAGGCAACTGGTCGTATAAGACGACCCCCCAATTTTTGCTGTTAAATTATAGAGTTTGGCCACTCGCCAAGCACCGCCAAGGGCAGAGCGCGCACCCCTCCGCTGCCTCTGCCGTCGCAGCAGCAGCAGCCTGAGGCAAGGCGTTTGGTGGGCAGAACTCCCTCCCTCCCGGCTCCCTCCCTCCCTCCGGGAAAAGCCCCCGAGCGGCCGCCTCAGCCTCCGCCGCCCTCACCTGTGGGGATGCCCAGCTGCTTGGAGCCCCAGCCGAAGCCGCGCACCACCTCGCCGTGGCAGGCTCTTCATGGCACCCGTGAGCCAAGCGAAGCTCTGCGCAGCCACGGCAGAGGCCAGATCCGGCTCCCACGGCGGCAGCAGGCGGGCGGGTGAGTGCCATGCTCGGAAAGACTTTCCGCGTCACAGGAGGCTGCGTCCCCTTCTGTGGGGAGGGAGGAGGAGCAACGGCAGAAGGGATGCCTCTGCTCACCGGCTCCCTCTCCTCCTTCGAAACAGGTGGCTCTGCGTATACCCGGCGTGTAAGATGACCCCTGAATTTTGGGGTGATTTTCCAGGGATAAAAAGTCATCTTGTACGCTGGAACATACGGTGCTTAATTCATTCCGGAGGTCTGTTCTTAACCTGAAACTGTTCTTAACCTGAAGCACCACTTTAGCTAATGGAGGCTGCTGCGCTGCAATCGTGCGATTTCTGTTCTCATCCTGAAGCAAAGTTCTTAACCCGAGGTACTATTTCTGGGTTAGCGGAGTCTGTAACCTGAAGCGTATGTAACCCAAGGTACCACTGTACTTTCTTTGTAATTTTTCATTTTCAATTTTGGCATAGGCCAAAACCAGTAGACATACAATGTACATAAGTTCCCCCCCTGGTGGCATCAAATTTATTTCCCCTGCTGTATTGTATTTGGTCATTTGAACAGATATCCTTCTTGTTGAAGCCATTTCAAAGAACAGACCTGAGTACTTTCTCTTTTCTGTGAACAATAGGAAACTAAATATTATTTTACTGACATGTGTGTGTGCACACGCGCAGAGACAGAGAAAAATACTGTTGCACACAGCACGTAAAACTCTGGAGTTTGTTACCAGGCAATGTAGTGGCCACCACCTTAGATGGCTTTAATAAGCATTTGGACAAATTGAAAACTTAAGAAGATCACGAATGGGATGCAGGTGGCGCTGTGGGTTAAACCACAGAACCTAGGGCTTGCCAATCAGAAGGTCGACGGGGTGAGCTCCCATTGATTGGTCCCTGCTCCTGCCAACCTAGCAATTCAAAATCACGTCGAAGTGCAAGTAGATAAATGGGTACCGCTCCGACGGGAAAGTAAACAGCATTTCCGTACGCTGCTCTGGTTCGCCAGAAGCAGCTTACTCATGCTGGCCACATGACCCGGAAGCTGTACGCCGGCTCCCTCAGCCAGTAAAGTGAGATGAGCGCAGCAACCCCTTTACCTTTAAGAAGATCACCGGGGACGGGGCAGAAAAAAGCTCAACAAATTTTTAGATGACCTCCCCCCATAAAAGCTCAACATTTTTTGTTGAGCCGCTGATTGTCTGGATTTTCACTTTGGGAAATATGGCAACCCTTGTTTTAGTGTTGACATTTTGTGTTGTGGCAGTATAGAAATACTTTTATAAATTCATGCAATACATAAATGCATAAAATGATAGCTGTGTATGGTCTTCAGTGCCAGAGACAGTATTCCTTGGAATACCAGTTGCTGGGGATCATGAGCAGGGATAGTCTTATCGCACTCATGTTTTGCTTGTGTGCTTCCTGTAGGTATCTGTGGCCACTGTAACTAAACGGGCCTTTGATCTAATTCACTAGGGCTCAGGTTCTTGTTATGGGTTTATTCAAGTTTTTTTTGCAGATTGGGACTCCTATCACACTTTGAATAAGGATTGGAGGCAGTGTATGCTGCTTATTTTAAAGATTGCAGACCTGCTTATCAAGAAGTAGGCCTTGTTGAACTTGATAGAACTCTGGCGTGAAATGTTTTTTTTAGATTGGGCTGTGTGTTGGGTTATCCACCTTGGTTACTGAAGTGAAAGGCGAGATAAAACTTCTACAAATAATCATAGAATAGTAGAGTAGGAACGGATCTTGAACTAAAGCATCCATGGCAGATGGCCAGACAAACATTTGCAGCAGTATACTGTAATCAGTACAATCCTTGTAAGAAACTCACTACTTTTTATACCCAGGAGGCCTAATACTTAATGCTCTTTCAAAACTGAATGTGCTTTCCCGATAAACAGTTAATATTTACTAGTGTTGTATGTTTAAATGTTACTTTTTACACTTTACAATCATTTAGCTTTTGTACTTTTGGATTTATGGGGAGAACGCTGGTAAGCCAAGTGGCATCAATTTCAATCCTTCTAGCTGCCCCTAATCCTGTATTGTCACTTCTCTCTTTGCAGATGGAATTGGAGTCCAAAGAGACTATAAGCAAGCCTATAAGTATTTTAACTTGGCTTCTCAAGGAGGGCACATTCTGGCCTTCTATAACTTGGCACAAATGCATGCCACTGGCACTGGTGTCATGCGCTCCTGTCATACTGCTGTGGAGGTAAGCATTAACTTCCTTCCTTTGCAGACTTACAGGCAAGGCCTTAGCAAAGTCGTCGGAGGTACAATCAAGCAGCCGTCTTTGCTCATGGGGTTGAATTTGCTTTAAGTGTTCTGACTGCTCTGGGTGGCATTCAGCTAATGAGTTACATCAGCAGAAGCCCACATGAGGACTTGCACTTGCACAGCAGGGCTTCTCTCCCCCACATGCCCTCTGAAATTGTCTCTGAGAACCCCCAAAACAACATCCAGAGGGTGGAAAGAGGGAGACGTTGCATTTGGCAGGTTGCAATGCTAGTGCTGATGGAGCAATCCACATAGAGGGATGTTGAATTCCTCCCTCTTTGTTAGATCTGTACTCTTTTTGGTCCATGCTAAAAAATAGTTTTATTTATATAGTCTTCCCATATCCATAGAACGCTGATGGGTGTTTTAACCTGTTTTTAGTTTATTGCTGATTTAAATTATTTGAATGTAACTCTTTTACCGATAATTTTATGGGGTTTTCTCCTCTTTGTAAACCACTTTGAGGGGGTTTTTCACAATTAAGTGGTGTCTAAATTTTATGAAATAAATAAATGCATCGTATTTCAGTTATGTAGTTTTAAGACCATGTTTGGGTCACAAATGTACAGGGTTTGAAAAGCTTCAAAGTAAATAAAGTGGAAGAACTTTTAATTCCAGTGTACTCAATTAAATGCTTTTGTAAGAATTTTTAAAAACTATTCTTAGCAGATTGCTGGTCTTTGGAGAATAAAATCTATTCTTCATCTGAGTCCACTATAAAAACATGAACACTTTCCAAGTTAAACACTTTCCACTAGAATATAATATAAATTAAGGTGAATGCTTCTAAGTCTAACTTGAGAGCAACAAAATATGGTTATATAAATCTGAAGTCTTTAAAGCTGGGATGGGGAATTTGTTACGTTCCAGATGCTGTTGGACTCCAATTTCTGTCAGTCCCAACCAACATGGCCAATGGTCAGGGAAGATGGAATTTGTCATCCACCAACATTTGGAACGCTGCATGTTCCCCATCCCTGCTTTAAAGTAAACTTGGCAGATGATTTGTGCAACAGGTGAATTCCTGAATGAATTTTTATGTAGTGTTTGTCACTCATTTCCCTGCTGAATGGCTGTGCACCCTGATCCTTTTATGCCTTGATGCCTTCTGAATCTCACAAATGAAGGTTCTGCAGGAATACCTGTTTGTGTCTCCTCAATGTATTCTAAGTGGTTAGCTTAAAAAGTTACAGCTATCTTGTGTGTATTCTCTGCAGCTGTTTAAGAACGTGTGTGAGCGAGGCCGTTGGTCTGAGAAGCTTATGACTGCCTACAACAGCTATAAAGATGGCGATACGAATTCTGCTGTTGTTCAATATCTGCTGTTGGCGGAACAAGGCTATGAGGTTGCACAAAGCAATGCTGCCTTCATTCTTGATCAAAGTAAGGGATTGGACTACATCTTGTATACATTACTGGCTTGGTGCTGATTAGCTATGCTGTGATTTTTAGCACCGAAGTTGACTTCATATGTAATGATACGCTTCTGGGGTTAGAAATAACCAACCTGGAACAGCAAGCTTCTTGACAAATCATGAGTTATAACTTAAACAGAATAATTTATATATGTTCCATTATGGATAAAATCATAGAATGCTATAGTAAAAGTGTCCCTTCATTCCCCCCCAAATGCCTGTCCAAACCAAGACCTTGCACTCAGTGGAGGTTGCTCCATTAGTGCAAATGGGATGCTGCCCCACTAATCTCAGCCAACTTCCTACCTGCTTGCCTTCTTCCTTACATCCCATCTAGGGAGCTTCCTTCTCCTTAATCTCAGTAAGGATGGGGACAAACCTAGAATGAGTTAACTCTGCCTGCCTTTGACTCTGGTTTCACCTACTGTTGGCCCCTCTCTGCCTTCCCCTCTACTAGTTTCATTGGGCACCAACCACTGGGCTTGCGCTTCTTCAGAGAAGTCCAGGAAATCAATATTTTGCATGTGAAGCAATCACAATGCACAGATTTCACATGCTCTTGCTTGTTGAAACTTAATGAATGGGTGCTATTGAAAAGACGATCTGTGTTAATCTTGGGCGATGTAGTGGGATTGTTGGGCTTTTTAGGTAATCGCTGAAGTATGTAACTGTTTAAATTGACCCATTATCATGCTACTCTTAAGCAAGCTTCCTATTGAAAACTAGTATAGGCACCGTGTGTGTTCCGTCACCATGGCATTCTATCCCAGTGTTTTTTGCGGCTCTAAATTTAAAGTAAACTACAGGCCAAATTATCAGTTATGGAGAGAATTCTTCTCCCACTGGACCAGAATTGCAGTTTTGGGAGGAGGGAAAGAAACAGGATTATAATATATTATTTTCAAAATAGAACCAGGGCCTGCTGTTTTTCCAGGTCAGTAAGGAAACACTGGGAAGCCTCCTCTCCAACAAGGGAGGGTAGGTGTTCTTGCTACCTTTGGATATTTGAGGGTTTTCAAGCCTTGCTCTTACGGGATTGCTTCCGAAGAGAAGATTTCATGAGCGGAAACATTTGTTTTATTTTTAAATATGTTGTTCCCCAGGCTGTTAGATGCAGGATGGCATCTTGCACAGGGAACACAGGGGCAGAAAATCAGTCCCATGAAGGAAAGTGTAAAACACAAACCCACCATCTATGCTTGCTGGTGTGCACGGGCCTAGTGTAAGCTGATTTTGGTAGGCTCTTGTCACCAACCACTGTGACCATCAGGGTCTGGCAGACGAGATGCAGGCAAGGGGTGGTGACTGTGTGATGTGAATGACAGAAATCATTTGGTTAACTTTGTGTATCAAAACTAGGAGGCTGTGCCCACCCCTACTCGCATTAGATCATCAGCCTGAATCATGTGGGTACTTAATCCTTTGGAAATTAAATATGACTTGTGTGTTTAATTCTCCCAACATTTATTCTAATTCCTCAGAAGAGGCCAGCATAATAGAAGAGAATGAGACTTATCCCAGAGCCTTACTGCACTGGAATAGAGCAGCCTCCCAAGGTGAGTCATAGCTCAAATTCTCTGGTTCCTCGGCCATAGCACATATGAGGAATCCTTGTGGCAGTTTCCTGATCAGACTGGTAAAGGGAAGGAGAAATCCCTATTGCTGCTGTGTCTGTTCACTAGCTGGAAGCAGATCATGAATAGGTTAAAGTCTTGCTTTGTGCCACTTGAATCCTCTCTTCCCTGCAGCCACATTTCTCTGACTATTGCAAAATACAGTCAGATCTAAGAAATCTTGCATATTACGTAGCTGAACTAATACTGGGTCTGCTTTTGCCATGTCAGTGCACTTGGCTCATTGTGAAGTAGCTGCTGTAATCAGCCTAGATCCCAAACTTAGTCATTTCTGAAATGAAATTTCTGAAGGCTACCGTATTCTAAGGGTGCATTTGCATAACGGGGCACACATGTTCAACTAAATACCGCAAAATCAAATTCTGTCCATAGTGCCAGAAAATCTTGTGGTGGAATGAAGTTCCCTCTACAGTTGGTTATTGGTCTGGGACACAAACCTACAATCCTTGGCAAACTGAAAGAAATGTGCTATATACCTCACTCTTCTCTTCATCGTGGTTGTTCTTTTGCTGATAGGTTACACTGTTGCTCGACTGAAACTTGGCGATTACCATTTCTATGGCTTTGGAACTGAAGTTGATTATGAAACAGCATTTATTCACTACCGCCTGGCAACGGAGCAGCAGCACAGTGCCCAAGCTATGTTCAACCTGGGCTATATGCATGAGAAAGGACTTGGTATCAAGCAGGTGAGCCACCTTAGGAGACATGGTCATTGTGAAATTTGTTGCAGCAAAATTTCCAGTATGGTCAGTTGTAAGAATCTCTTGCCATCTACTGTAGGCATTTGTACATAATGCGCTGAGCGGCAGGTGGGGAAGGGAGGACTTTGCAATCTGGCTAAATGGAGACAAGGTCATCATTAATGAAAGTGCCTTGCATAATTATTATGTGTTATATTGGGTGGGGGGGATATCAGCTTCCTGCTGTTATTTAGAAATTGGCACCAACAAGTTCAAGTTAATTGGTTTTGTCGTTCACAAATATATTTTAATTGTATGTATTTTGTAGGATATTCACCTTGCAAAACGCTTCTATGACATGGCAGCTGATGCCAGTCCAGATGCTCAAGTTCCAGTCTTCCTTGCACTCTGCAAACTAGGAATCATTTATGCCTTCCAGTATGTACAAGAAACCAATGTAAGTAATGCAGAGCTTTTATAGGAAAAGAATGATACTGAAGGTACTTTGATGGTGGTGCATTCTTGGTCAGAATTACCTCTCTTCCCCTTCTTCTGTGTAACTGGCTTGAAGTATAGATGTGTAATTAGAAACAGCTTTAAGGTGCAGGAACACTTGCCTGTAGATAGAACAGTTTCTGGCAATGTGAAGTTTTCAGGTTGGAGGTTAATGTTTGTCCTTGTCTTCTGTCACACTTTGCCTGTAAAAGTGTTTCCTTGTCACACTTGCTCCCATTCAGCTAGTGAAGTAGACTATACCCAAAATTGAGGGATGTGGGTGGCGCTGTGGTCTAAACCACTGAGCCTCTTGGGCTAGCTGATCAGAAGGTCAGCAGTTCGAATCTCCATGATGGGGTGAGCTCCTGTTGCTCTGTCCCAGCTCCTACCAACCTGGCAGTTCGAAAGCACACCAGATAAATAGGTACCGCTGCAATGGGAATGTAAACGGTGTTTCTGTGCGCTCTGCTTTCCATCACAGTGTTCTGTTGCTCCGAAAGCGGTTTAGTCATGCTGGCTACTTGACCCAGAAAGCTGTTTGTGAGCAAACAGCAACTCCCTCAGCCTGAAAACGAGATGAGCGCTGCAACCCCATAGTCACCTTTGACTGGACTTAACCGTCTGGGGGTCCTTTTCCATTTACCTTTTTTTACCCAAAATTGACCCACTGCCCCTATTGCAGTGCCTGACATCCTGGTGTTACCCTGGTTGACTGAGTTCTTAGGTAGTAATCCATACTGTTCATGTTTCCACAAGACCCTTATTCATCATTATGCTGGAGACTCCTTTGAAATCGTTGGGTGTTATGCTGCAGGAGTAGCCAGCATGGTGCTGTTAGAAAATCCACAAGTGAAGCATGAAGGCAGTTTCCATCCCATGCTGTCCCTTCCCCCACAGCCTCCAGAACTGGTATTCATTGTCATAACTCCTCTGACAAGGGAGACTCCATTTGGCCATCATTGCTAATATCCAGCTATCTAAGGGATCCTTAGGCTGTAAAACCATCAAGCTGGGTGTGGGGAGAGAGAGTCTGAACCTATGCAGGTCAGGGTTATGACTCCTTTTTCTTGTTTATTTCAACTGGTAGTACTCCCATTGGATAGGGACTCTTAACTTGGCCTGTTTTCAGGAAAGCCCTGGGGCACTTCATTTTTGCCCCTTAGAAATGGGCCTTCATATTTCTCTTGCAGTCAGTTGGGGTTTAATCATGAAGCAGTAAGCTGCAGGAATGCCAAGCTGAAGCTGTGCACTCATCCCACCACCTTTCATACTGATCACTTTGTATTCCTGTTGAGGAAGAGTAGGAGAGAAGTGTTCCCATGGGTGTTGCAGAGCTGTAGGTGGTGGTAGCCAGTGGGCAGGTATAAAATTTAACTCTAGTTAAAAATAAAACTTGCAGCACGTGTAATACATGGGAGGTGAAATACACTAAACAGCTTTCCAGGGTCCTTGAAGAAAGAACATAACCTGGCTGCAAGGTTGCCACAGATAAGTTGCCCATCGAAAAGGCAGGGTTTACACTCAGTAACATTATTGTTCAGGGGCATGGGTGCTCTGTGGTTTAAACCACTGTACCGCTTGGACTTACTGATCGAAAGGTCGGCAGTTTGAGGCCTTGCAATAGGGTGAGCTCCCGTTGCTCAGTCCCAGCTCCTGCCAACTTGGCAGTTCATAAATAGATGAACTGGCAGGAAGGTAAACAGCGTTTCTGTGCGCTGCTCTGGCTTCACCAGAAGTTGCTTAGTCATACTGGCCACATGACCCGGAAAACTGTCTGTGGACAGACGCCAGCTCCCTTTTCCTGTAGAGCGAGATGAGCACCGCAACCCCAGAGTAGTTCGTGAGTGGATATAACTGTCAGGGGTACCCTTACCTTTATCTTTTAACATTCTTGTTCACATAAGGGGCAGGAAGCTATTGAAATTGTGGACAGCAGCTGAGGACTGAATGCCTCTTGTTTTGTCTGTTTTTTGTTTAGATCAAAGAAGTGTTCTCACACCTTGACATGGACCAGCTCTTGGGACCTGAGTGGGACCTTTACCTCATGACCATCATTGCTTTACTCTTGGGCACAGTCATTGCTTACAGGCAGAGGCAGCACCAGGCAATTCCCAGGCCGGCAGGGCCCCGGCCAGCTGTGCCTCTCCAGGATCCTCCCCCAGAGCATCAGCCACCGCAATAGCAGGAGCCTCAGCGAAGTGAACTGGATTTTCCAGCCGGGACTGTTTTGCGTGGTTTTAGGACACCCCATGAATGGGCCACATCTGCAAGGGAGGTGCAAAAGAGTGTTGCGTTCTGAAAGTCGCTTAGGACTCTTACCTTTCTTTTTTCAGGGATATCTATGTTTCCTCAATGTGGAGTTGAATGTTATTTCAGTGCCAGTGGAATAACGAAACAGCTTTTGTGAAACACAAGTGTGTTACTTCAGAAGTGATGCCTGCTGTACCAGATTGTTCAGTGCCCTTTTTCAGTTTTGTCTCAATAGTTCAGGTGATGGTTGTGGTGGAGATTGGCCCACACAGAAAGGAAACTTATAGTCGAGTCTTTGTTCCAGAAAGTCAAGCCTCTGCTTTTCTTCTAAGTAAAAAAGGCCATGTGAGTATGTTTGCAATTGTGATAAACTTGATTTATTTTTCTGGTTCTCTTCCCAATTCTTTTGACACCATCTTAATCCCTTAATAGTATTTCCCACCCTTGAGTGTCTGTGGGTGCTTTCATTTGAATATATCAGTCCATAAGAAGCAGATAAAAAGACTATCGGTAAATATGAATATACTTATTTTCGGTGATCTGTACTTACCCCTCCCCACTTAGGCAAATTCTTCCTAACAGCAGTGGATGAAGTATGATTGCACTTATAAAATGACAAATAATTTAACAAACAAGTCCTCTGCAGTGTGTGCAGAATTCTGATTTTTTTGAATTATGTACACTGCAAGAGCCTGTCTGAGACGTGTAAGGATTCCACCCCACCCAAGCTCACTCAGCCTCTTTTCTTTTCTTTTCTTTTCTTTTCTTTTCTTTTCTTTTCTTTTCTTGTTCCACAAATATGCCAAGATTAGCCGAACAGTGGGCTGGAGAAAAAGCCAGCGCTTTGTTAAGCTCGGAAGGCATCTTTATGGCAGTCTTTCTTTTCTGTTGCTTTTCCAGTCCATCATAATTCAGGTCTAATGAGCCGGGTTTGTCTTAACCTGATATTGCAAATTCTATTCAAGCATTCAGTTCTAAATGCATGAAGGGGCCCTGCAGGAATGTATGGCGCTAGCCCTGGCCCCATGGCAACACAGGCATTTCCAGCATTCCACAGCTCATGTGTGATCATCTCTTGGATGCACATAGGATTTCATCCTCGGAGGCGGGAATCCAATCTTGTCCCTGTGTCGGAAAACCTGTGCGCATAGAAAGCAGCCCCCTTCAGACTGAGCTGAAAATGGCAAGACAATGCTGGCATGCATTGTGTGAAGAGGGCATTCCCACAGGTTTCAAATGCCCAAACAGGATGGTTGCAGTAGGTGTAGGAGACTGTGCAACTTTGGGTTATTAATGTAACCTCAATCTACATATCTAAAAACTGGTTAACTACCATTTCTGTTGCATTAGCTATCGTGAGATGCAAAGCACTCAATTAGCATATAGAAGTCGACTCTAAGTGTATCAGTTAATAACACCCACACCATTTATACCAGTTTGGCTCCAGCACACATTATTTTTAAGCTCCTTAGAGAGTAGGAATATGTTTCAGGGGTGAGAGGATCCCCAGACTCTGATGTCATATAAGAGCTGTTGTAGTATGAAAACAAATCTCAACATGTTTTTCCTTTGGCCTCAAATCAAACAACATCTTCCAGGCTATAAGACAACTATGGACACTTGCTGTTTAACCCATTGCTCTTTTAGTAAGTCACTACATGAAGCAAAGATGCAAGGATAATTTTCTGGCTCAATGGATGCACAGAAACGTGTTCCTTTTTTAACTACTACAGTAGCATATACAGGTGTCTGTTTCTAGAGCATCATTACGTAAGCCGTTGGTACCATTGAAAGCAATGTGGTATTTAAATGTTGTTTAGAGTCTGGACTGCGTACGTTGCATGCTTCTCAAAAGCACCTTATCTTGCCTTGTTCAAATGCCAACAGTCTTTGTTAGTAAGCAAGTAGACAAGCATAGTTGGAGTAGCAAGGGCTTCCATTAAAAGAGAGACACCGTATGGCTCTGAAATCTTAGAATATTATTGAGCAAGATTTTCTTCCATTAACATGTCTTGGAATCTGTGAGAGGAGCTTCTAGGAGCTGGGTGTTGTGCGGCTTAACAGTATTATGAGGTTGGACAACTTAGTAGGTGGTCCGAAAGCTTTCCCCCCCCAAAAAAATAGACAAGGTGCAAACGAAAACGAAAACCTTATCATAATTTGGGTCCTACATACAGGCTACAGTTCAAAGGAACAACAGGGTTGTGGGGGGATATTCCTTTGGCGTTTCAGTAGCTTTCACAGCCCTGGAGGCAAGCCACAGCTTTAGCAAACTGCTTGCCTCTTCGGAAGTGGGAGCTGTAACTGAAAATATTCAGGGCTCCAGTTGCAAGTGATGGTCTCTCTGTTCGTGCATTTGTTAATTACTACAGGGTAAAATCCAGAAAAGTGTGCTTGATTTCAAATGAGACTAAATTGTGATACAGTTGTTTCCTACGTTAAAATCAATACTTTCTTTGGAATGAACAGCTTAGTAACTGCATAATTCTTCAAAATTTCCAAAATATTCCCCTCCGCTATCTCATTTTATTGCTTCTGTGGAGCTTTTAAAAAAATTGCTAATTGTACCACTTTAAATTTGTTTTGATTCACTTGAAGAACATAATAGTTGACTCACTCTTTAATTTCCACTTGATGTAACAACTATAGCCCCCATAACCACATCCATACTAAAGCTAAACCTTGAGATAAGCAAAACACATGATCTCCCCTTTTGAATTATTTTCCTCCTTCAAAATGCAAGATAAGTAATAAGCGTGTTTCCCTTATGGATTTTGCCATTGCTGAAGCTATCTAAATAGCATCCATTTAGATTTGAGGTAGCTGGCAGCAGGTTACATGGGGGAACCATCAAGCAAACTCAGGGATTTAAGAAAAGATCAGTAGGTCTAGGTTATCCACATATAGTATCTTTGAACATCCTCTTGTTTTGAACTAACCTTTTAATTTTCCTTTTAAATTAAGACTAGCATCAATCGATATAAAATTGCTCGCATTCAGTTGGTGCTAGTAAAGCAGGCTTTGCCTTTTAAACTTTTTGTCATGGGGTGTGATTTTAGAGAGCATCCTCTTGCTATTTAGAGGGGCAGGTGGATTTAAATAATCTAAGCTAAATGGAATTGCTTGACATGGATCAAATTGTTGAATTCAAATTGTGATTCTTTTATCCAAGATAGATCAGAACATAAATGGACTTGGCTAAGGATCTGCTGACACTTATGTCTTTCTAATCCATCTCTTTTCTGAAAATTGTCACTGTACCAGATGTTGTGAACGTGGACAGCAGCATGTTTCAGAGACTATAATTATATATTGTTTGAATTTTGCTTCCCTGGATGTAATTAGTGCTATCCATATGTATGAGAAATTTCTCCTTTCACACGTTAAGTGACAGTGTTTGAGTGAAGGGTTTACTCGAGTCTTAAATCACTAAACCAGGAATAAACAGCATATTTGAAGTAGCAATGGATGTCCCACCACAAATCTGTGTTGGGTTAGCTCAGCTCTGCCTTTCTCTTCATGGTAGCTGTCACAGATGCTTCTTAATCTGCTTTTCCATAATGTGGCTGTATGTGTGAAAATACTTCACTCTGTGATTGACACCCTTGGGGAAATAAAGTGGGGGAAGCTTGCCTTCTAATATTTTAACTACTTACTGGGGGATGAGAAAAATTGAAAGAGAGTTGCTTCCCCACTATGTTTTAACAAACCAAACAACACAGAGCACCCAGTCCATCATCTCAAGGTAGCCATCACTGTTGAGCCCAGTTCGGGTTTTCTTTGACACAAGGAATTTTAAACAAGCCCTTGCTTAAACCAACAAATAAGAAGTTAGTTGTGACTGATCATTACACGAGGCTGGGTGGTATGTATAAACCAAGGCAGTCGTGCTTGCACACAAAGCACCAGCACACCAGTGTCATGTACCCCTAGGCCACACATCCCTGGTGCAACTGACTGGTTCCACTGACTTAAGTGAAACTTAAGTTACAATCCTATGCACGCTTGCCTAAGAATACACCCTGTTGAACCGAATGAACTTAATTCCAAGTAAATAAGCATAGGATCAGGCTGAAAGTCCAATGTAAGATGGATTGGGGCCAACAGCTTGCACTCTGTTAATTTGCTGTTTCTAAAACCCACATACCCAAGTTACAAGAACGGAAGCTTACTTTAGCAATTCTTTAATATTTTAAACAGCACGACAAACAGGTTACTTTCCACTTTTTTTCCTTTTTCTTTTTTGAAGCGTTGACATGATTTGAGAGCTGCAACTGAATGCATACAGTTGGAGAAGGCTAGTGAGAAGAGTCCTTTTGTCTCACGCTGGCCTAAATCACAAAGTGAATAAAGGGTTTTGTAAATTTTCTTTTGTATTTAAGATGATGCAGTATAAAGGCTGGAAAAGTGTAATATAACTGTAAACACATCCTGTTAATAGAAAGATGTACAGATTCATTTTGTACTATATCTTGTTGAATAAAGATGCCACTTTTGTGATTGGCCTGTAATGATGTAAGAGAAGTTGTGTTTCCTTTTTACGTTTAAGAAGAACTGGCATTTCTGACAAAAACTATGACCCATACAGCTGAACGAGAAATCCTCCCCCCTTTTTTTATCAATTAGTGCCTAACAATACAATAAAATTCTTGCCTACTTGGCAGTAAATGCTGATTTCAAGTAAATATACATAGGATTGCAACCTTAGGGTACAATACTATGCTTGCATACCAGGAAGTAAGTCCCACAGAGCTCAGTGGGGCTTAACTTATGCCTAAACTTGCATAGGACTGCAGTGTTACCGTCTGAGTCAACTTTTCAACCTTGGGAGGACTGAAACGCCTATGTGTTGCTTCCCTGTTTCACCTACCTCTTCTTCTTCCCTCCTCTTGTTGCTTCTCCTGTGTTGAATGTTAGATTGTGACTTTTGTGAGCTTTTATTTTTTGAGGCAGGGTGCCTGCCTTATTTTCTGCAAAGCGGCAGGTGCGCTGTGAGGAAGAGAAGTTGTGAAGAGTGGGTTTTTTGCAGGTAAAGAGAGCACAGGAAGAAAAGAGTCAGGAGCGCGGTCACATTATCATAGTAATGTGCAGAAGAATGGGAATATGTCTTCCACCTACTGTGCATGACCTGCACATATGCAGCTATGCATCAACAGAATATATTCCCCGTACGCACTCAGTTGATGAATGGGTGTGGCAGAAGGAATATGACCGTGTGCATGGAGATGGGGCCAAGATTGGGAGAAACATCACCACACACACTTCTATATGCATCTCTCTGTACATGTTGCTGTTCATCTGCCAATCACCATGGGAACTAGATGCCATGATTCAATACCTATTACAATCTCCCCACCCCCAATCCCACCCAATAAAATAAGCACTGTTGTATAGCCTTGTTAGTAGCTTTAGAATTATATTGCAGAAAGGGGTTTTGTTAAATCTTGCCAGAAAGAATGTAATATGATTCCTGCAAATGTCTAGAATATTTAGGATTGGCTTTGAGAGGGAGTAAGATAGCAGTCAAGAACAGGAGCAAATCACCTGTGAATTCACTGAGCTCAGCCAAGCCACTGTCTCAGTCTCCGTCACCTCCAATCTGGAATAATGTATTGTAATGACTTACCTTACAAAGTTGAAAGAGCTATAAAGGCGATGTACTAGAAACAGTCTGAGCACAGGAAAATTGCCATTACAAGTGCTCTATTATTATATAAAAGCTGTGTGACTGTTATGAACCCCTACCGCTGGTTTTGTGGCTAGCAATTTTTATTTATTTTGGCATGTCAAATCAGGCATAATTGACACTTGAAAAGAGAGCAAATATCTTCTACAAAATGCCATGCTGCATTTGGTGTAGAATTCCTTCATTCACATCTTAAGATCAATTTATTTGGGGAAAGCTTAGCTAGTAATAATGAACTGTTCTGGGGTTGTTGTTGTTTTTATGCTGGTGATGGTAATGATTGCCACTTTTCTACGTAGGTATACCTAAAGTGGCTTATAACTAGGGACAGGGGAGGACTTTCCAAAACAATGTCGAGACGCAAAAAAACCCAGCCATGCATCAAAATTTACACATCTCTGAATTTGGCAATGCAGTTCTCCAGCCAAGTAATGTGTACAAAAATAGCATATCAAAATGCATTATATTGGGAGAAATTCCTTTGCAAAAGTGTGTATATTAAAAGAAATTAACACTAAAATGCTGGTGGACTTTTTTAAAAAAAAAACCACAAACTGATATGGAAATGTTGAGAACTGAAGATTGGAAAAGTGAGAACCTGAGAGAAACCAAAATAGGAAGATTCATCCACCACGAGAAATACAATAAGAGGAATTCATAGCAGAGCAGAATTACAATACTACTTGCTCATTTCAAGACAATGTTTCAGGCCACTCCAGTCTCTGCCAAGTGGGGAGATTGCAGGAGTCTTGGCACTTAACCAGGGTTTGTGTTATTTTGAGGGGAAATGAGGCACAACGGAGGCTAGGGTCTTCATGAAATATCATTTTTATTCACACATATTTACACCTGGGGTTTGTGGAGAGTTGACAGCATTTACATCTCAAGAGGGGCTTCTCCTTCCCAGCAGCACTTGCAGAAAACACCTTCCCTTCTGTCTCGGCCAGCCTGCTAAGAAGTTCCACTTGCCCCACATCCTCCAAACATTTGCTTTTAAAATGTTTTTTTTTTCTGTGTGACATCACAACGGCTGTAGAAGAAGAAGAAGAAGAGTTTGGATTTGATATCCTGCTTTATCACTACCCGAAGGAGTCTCAAAGCGGCTAGCAATCTCCTTTCCCTTCCTCCCCCACAACAAACACTCTGTGAGGTGAGTGGGGCTGAGAGACTTCAAATAAGTGTGACTGGCCCAAGGTCACCCAGCAGCTGCATGTGGAGGAGCGGGGAAGCGAACCCAGTTCCCCAGATTACGAGACTACCGCTCTTAACCACTACACCACACTGGCTCTGGTCCAAACTCAAGATCTTCCCTGACTTGTTCTCCTAACTACTTACCCCTAATCGACCACTGGGGCTTAAAGCGCCTGGTGCGAATCTGGAACCCTGTATAGCAAACACAGGGAAAGCGGTGCAGGAATGAACATGTTAGCTCCACCCTTCTCATTTTCGTAGCCCTCCATAAGTTTGAGAGCAAACTGTGTGAAGAGCTCCTTGCATGTTTTAGAACGGTGCTTTCCAAAACATGTGGAGACTCTCCACATACTCATGGCTTACTAATCACACAGTTGCCTGCCACTTTTGAAGGGCAACAGTAGCATGCACATGCAACACCTCTCCCCCCGCCCCCACACACACACTTTATTATGCTTGAAGCCAGGGGTTCTCTAGTTTTCTGCTCCCAGGATCCACTTGAGCTGGCTAAAATGAGACTGAAGCCCACCCATCACAAAATGGCGGTGCCAATAACAAAATGGCAGCAGAAAGGGGTTGGCAGAATGAGCTGGCAATTAAAGACTCCCACCCCCACCCATTGCTAAGTAATCCCTTTTCTAAATTGCTAAATTCTTTGCCCACAGTTCATCTTTCTTGAAGAAAAGTACAGACTGCATGAGACATTTTGTGACTCAGCCTCCCCATTTTATGCAGAATTGCTGACCCAGAAGTTCTTAGTGGGGAGGGCATTTTATTTTTTATTTTATCTACCATCCACCATCACCACCCTCGCCCAATATACACATACTCCTCTCAAAGTGGTTGGCGTTTTTTGTTTTTGTTTTTAACTGTTCTGTAATTTCATCTCCTTGTTCTTTTCACACTTAGCTTTCACTTATTTCCCCCCAAGCTGCCGGTGTCTTTCATTCCTTTCAACCTACTTCTTTCACATTCACATCTTCCTATGAAAGCTCTATCTCTTGTCCCCAGTTTTGTTTTCTTTTCCCAGTTTATTAGATTACTCTTTAAAAATAGTAACCTTTTTGGCTCTCTAGCTTCCTTCAATGCTGACTCTAGCCCTTGCCCTTAAAGGGAGGGTGGAGAAGCTTCTGGGTTTGGCAGGAGATGGAGAGTGGGGACAGAATTAGGATGTGGGGTGTGAGTCTGCCTGAAGTGGATGGGTCAAAAGGATCAGCAGCAGATCACAGGACAACTTCTCCCTCAGTCAGTCATTCTGTCTCCCTCCTTCCTGTTTGCTGTCTTCCTTCCCTGACACTTGTTGCCGCATCCGTTTCCTCTGCTTCTCAGATGGGCGGGTATGTCAAACTCAGTTTTCTTTCAGTTTCTTCACATTCTTAATTTCACTTCTCTACATTTCTACATCAGTTTGTAGAAAAACATTTCTCTTTTTTTAAAAAAAAAACCTCATTGAAATTCAGTAGCGTTTTAGTGTTCATTTATCCTAATGTATGCATTTTGATATGCAGTTTTCCTGCAAATTCCCTGAATACGTTTTTTACCATGTTCTATGATTCTATGTAGGGACGCGGGTGGCGCTGTGGGTAAAACCTCAGTGCCTAGGACTTGCTGATCGCATGGTCAGCAGTTCGAATCCCCGCGGCGGGGTGAGCTCCCGTCTTTCGGTCCCAGCTCCTGCCCACAAAGCAGTTCGAAAGCACCCCTAAGTGCAAGTAGATAAATAGGTACCGCTTTATAGCGGGAAGGTAAACGGCGTTTCCGTGTGCTGCGCTGGTGCAGGCTCGCCAGAGCAGCTTCGTCATGCTGGCCACGTAACCCGGAAGTGTCTGCGGACAGCGCTGGCCCCCGGCCTCTTAAGTGAGATGGGCGCACAACCCTAGAGTCGGACACAACTGGCCCGTACGGGCAGGGGTACCTTTACCTTTATGATTCTATGTATGTATTCAATGCACATTTTACCATAGCATTTGCATTTTTTTAAAAAAAATCCTCTCTCAATAGAACATACAGAGACTCAGTTTTCAAATCCTAGAACTGTTCAGACAAATTAGCCATACCCAAAGCATGACATTGCTGTTATAGGCAATATAGAGATTGTGAGAGAAGAGAGAGAGGAATGGAAAGGCGGAGACAATAAATTTCATTCTTTTACATTTTTGTACCTATTATTTGTCTGAAGAACTACACTGCAGAAATCGGAGAAGTGTGAATTTCAGAGGCTGAAGGTTCGCATCTTGTTTTGCAAAGTGTGGATTAGGTAAATTCACCTTTAAATGTGAACTGAATACAATTTCTCCCGCATCCCTAATTCCCACCCTGACACACTGCATGCTGCAGCTTTACTCTCTTACCAATTCATCTCCTACATATTCCTGTGCACTGTACATGCAGGGAAATGCTGCTACCCACCGCTCAACAATAAACCCACGGCATGACAAGGCAGGTGGGATGCAGCACTGAAGTGTCCTGGTGGTCTCTGGAGCACAGTTTGAGAAATGCGGCTGCACATTTTCCAGCCCCAGCACACCTGAAGGAGGGCTGTTAGCCAACTGCTCAAACTAACACATTATCAATGTATATTGTTTATCAATTGCCTAAATACATAAGCCAGATAGTGGCAATGCTAATTTTTTGTGGTTTTT